TAGTAGTCACTGACACTTCTGTAAGACTCCTTAAACACCAGGCCCCATGCCAACCTGTGTAGTCTCGAGAGTCATTTGGGAGCAATTCTAAGAAGCAGTGAGCTCGCTAGCAAAAGCAACATTTGTTTTATTGGCAACAGCCCTCAGACTCACAGGAGATTGCTTATTGTTTCTATTTGCTCCACTTGGCGAAAGGCTCACACAGTTGCTCCAGAGCGTGTTTCCATTTGGGGTGTAACTTAATATAATCCACATACATCATAGTTCTACAATCTAGAGATCCCAAAATACACAGCCCCTCCCCATACACAAAGGGGACGGAACCCAGTATTACAGACAGTTGAGGTAGAAGGAAATAGGACAGGCAGTCAGGGATGGGCCCTTGGGGTGTCACCCTTTTGAGAGTTCCCATTATCTCTTTAGGGGTGTGCCATACCTTCCCCCACACACCACACTAAGGATGACTAAATCTGAAGACTAATTTTTTTTTTTTTTTTTGAGGGGAACTGGGGGTTGAACTCAGGCCCTTGTGCTTGCCAGGCAAGTGCTTATCCTACTGAGCCATCTCCTGGGCACTTAATTTTTTTTTTTTTTTTTTTTTAACTGGGGATTGAACTCAGGTCCTTGTGCTTGCCAAGGAAGCACTTATTCCACTGAGTCATCTCCCCAGCCCCCCCTTTTTTCCCTAATTTTTTTTTAATTTTACTTCATATGCTATGTTGCATCTGGTTTTTTTTTTTTTAATTAATTAATTTATTTGTGTGTGTGTATGTGTGTGGGGCCAGCTCAGCCCACCAGGGGGCAGGGCTGGCTGGCATGTGGTGCTGGGGGATTGAACCGCGGTCCCTCTGCTTTGTTAAGCTCGTTCTAAGTAGGTGCTTTAGACCACTGAGCCATCTCACCAGCCCAAAAGTCTGATATAAGCTGTGTACTTTCTTTTTTTTTTTTTTTTTTGAGGAACCGGGGATTGAACTCAGGCCCTTGCTCTTGCCAAGGAAGCGCTTATTCCATTGAGCCATCTCCCCAGCCCCAAGGAATAATGGGTTTTTTTGTTATTTTTTTTTCTCTAATGCCTTCAGAGCACTTTTGGCTGGTTGGAGTGTTGTGGCCTAATTTTTTTAATGTAACATTTTCTTCAATTTTTTTTCTTTAATTTTTTTGTTTTTGGCGGAACCAGGGGTTGCACTCAGGCCCTTGCACTTGCCAGGGAAGCGCTTATTCCACTGAGCCATCTCCCTGGCCCCCTGAAGACTAATTTTACAGATTACATTGTTCACATGGCTCTTGAATTTGAGCTCTTCCTTCCTCAACCTCCTCGCATGCTCAGATTACAGACCAGCGCCACCACCTCACCCAGGGCTTTTGAGTAAGGGGTTGTTGCCTGAATACAATTAAATCATTAACTACAAACATTCTGAAGTTGCTTAATGGCCCCCATTTTACCACGACTAGACAGAAGCAGGAAGTAAAGGGAACTCCACCAATTAGCCCTTGGGAACTAAGCAGCTCAGATGAAGGGGAGATTAAGGAGGGCAGGCTCGGGTGGGTCGGGGTCCCTGGGGGCAGGGTGGGTCACGCCTGGAGTCGCTCGTGACCGCCCCCACTTTCCGCAGCCGACCTGACGCAGCTGTGCGGGCAGACGTGGCAGGGCGCCGGGCTGCTCCTGCGCTCCCACGCGGCCTCGCGCAGGTTCTACTTCGTGGCTCCAGACACGGATTGCGGGCTCTGGCTGCAGGCGGCAGCCCCGGGCAACAGGATCCGCTTCCAGTTCCGCTTCTTCCTGGTCTACAGCCTGACCAAGGCGGCGCCCAAGCCCCCGCCCGACGCCTCCACCCCGGCACCCTCCCACCCCTGTGCCCCAGGCTCCTACCTGCAGCTCTACGAGGGCCCGCCCGGGGCGCCACGACCCCTGGGAGCGCCTCTCTGTGGTCTGACCATTCCGGCCTCCGTGACCTCCTCCGGACGCTTCCTAGGCCTTCGCCTGGTCACCAGAGGCCGCCACCCCCGTGTGGACTTCGTGGGTGAAGTCACCTCTTTTCACTTGGGTGGGTTGGGCTGGAGTCTGAGGTGGGCGTGGGTGTGGGCGCAGCCCAGGGGCCGCTGCAAGCCAGAGGAGGAGGAGGTGCACCCAGGAGCAGGGTTGGGGGTCAGGGTGAGGGACCTTCGGATCCAAAGAGCCAGTGCCCTGAAGACTGATTCCACGGATGTGGATGTGTGTACCAGAATGCGGCCCCCCAGCCCGCGTGCGCACACATACGCACTCCCACACACGTGTGCACCTCGCATCCACACAAGCCACATACAACTCACCTCACTCACCGCTTGCCTTGCACACACCTGGCACACTGCACACCAGGAAAGCGCAGCACTTACGCCCTATGCAGAAGGGCACAGGGCTCTGGGAGGGGAGCAACCGAAGCCCCCCCAGGCAGGCAGGACTTGAATGGCTGGGTATGAAGCATTCACCAGCCCTTGGGTGCACAGCGATTCTGTTAGCTGGGGTTGGTTCCCTTGGGTAGCAGAGAGGAAAATAGGCTAGTTGGTACGGTGCCCGAGCCCCTTTGCTCCTAAGTGAAGGGGCTGGGTCTGATACAGGAGTGACAGCGTCATGCAGCTAGGCTCTGCAGGACTGTCGCCCAAACAGGTCCCCAAGACTGGGATACTTGTCACATCAGAAGGATCTCCTGCCATGGTGAGCAGGTGAACTCCCAAAGCCCAGAAGATTCCAAAAGCACAAGTTCAATCACCACTTTTCTTTTTTTTTATTTAAGAGTCTTGCTAAGCAATTCAGGCTGGCCTTGAGCTCACTCAGTACCCACGCTGGTCTTGAACTCACAGCCTTAACTTCCCAAGTGCTGGATTGCACAACAGCTCCATGGTGGGTGTTGAATCTCCTTAAGACTTACTGGCTTCCTCCTGGGAATTATGCCTACATGGTCTGAATTTTTTTAATTTTTGGACTGGGGATCGAACTTGGGACCTTGCACTTGCCAGACAGGTGCTTAAACCATGAGCTATCTCCCTGGCCTTTTTTTTTTTTTTTTTTTTTTTTTTTGGAATCAGGGATTGAACTCAAACCCTTGCGCTTGCCAGGGAAGTGCTTATTCTACTGAGCCATCTCCCTGGCCCTTGTTTTGTTTTTGAGACAGGGACTTGCTATATACTTCAGGCTGGACTTGAACTCACTATGTAGTTTCTGCAGGCCTGGAACTCAGTGATCCTTCTGCCTCAGCCTTCCAAGTGCTGAGATTACAAGCGTGCATTGCTGCACCTGGACCTTTTTTTTTTTGGATACACAGTCTGTGTAGTTCATGCTGATCTTGAATTTACTATGTAGCCCAGGTTGTTATGAATTTGAGGCACTCCTTCTGTCTCAGGCTCTTGTCTTGTTTTGTTTTTTTCTTTTTTTGTGTTTGGTGCAGGGTCTCACTACGTAGATCAGACTTGTAGTGATTCTCCTGTTTTTAGCCTCCCAAGTGCTGGGATTACATGCTCATGCTTCCATACCCAGTCTTAATCCCCATCTCAGGGTGTCCCAGGGGTGGGGTAGGCAAGGCGAGCCAGGGATGGAACCCCAGCCGATGCGCTCTGACTAAGAAGGTGCTTTAGTCTGCTGAGCTATCTGGCTGGCCCTATCTCAGATTCTTGAGCTTTGTTATTATAGACTTCTTTTTATAGGATCTTGTTAAAGTGTCCTTCTGGGGTCTACCTTGTGATTCTCCTGTCTTGAGTCACAGAGTGCTGGGAGGGACTATAGGCATATACCCACAGACCTATACCCCCAGGCCTGATTAAGGCATCTAATTTTATGGTTCCAACAAAAATCCTGCAGTGGAATCTAGTTATTTCTGTGGGTCAGATGTCTATTTCTGTGGCCAGGAATTAGAATGGTTTGATTGGCCTGGCCTGAGCCATGCCTTTGGTCAGTCCCAGTTGTCCTAGCCTTTGCCCACTGCATGGGATTCTGGGTAAGCCAAGCTGTCTGCAGCCCCTGGGCCTTGAGTGTGTGGTGCTTTCACTTGTGTGCATTGCCACTGTCAGCTGAGCACCTGCATTATGTGAAGTGCTGTTCTGTGCTGTAGACAGAGCAGCGAATGAGAGGGAATCCCTTTCCCGGGAAGATGGAGCATGAGGAAACAATCAAGAGCTCCTGTTCTGCAGATGGTGCTCAGTGCTGCCCAGGGCCAAGGTCAAGGCCAGGGTGGGGTTGGGGTTGGGATTGGGGTGGGGACCAGAGCTGGACCCTGGGCAGGAGCATTACAGGCTCACTCAGTGCAGACTGTCCCCCCCAACAACACAGCTGGGTGTCACAGCTTGACTGGGGCTGGTGCCACTGCCCTGGGCTTCAGGTCTTCCTATCTTTTTTTTTTTTGCGGAACCAGGGATTGAACTCAGGCCCTTGCCAGGGAAGCGCATATTCCACTGAGCCGTCTCCCCAGCCCAAGGTCTTCATGTCTTTGCAGAAGAGTTAATTACAGTGTTTACTCCCTGGGATTATACTGTTTCACTGCTCCTCCCCATCCCAGAACTTGTATCCTCTTCATTTTTATCACCTTCCTGAGCCACCCTCAAAAGCCCTGGTATACTGGAGGTTGTGGTACATGCCTGTGATCTTAGCACTCTGAAGGCTGAAGCAGGAGGATCACTGTGAGTTCAAGGCCAGCCTGGACTACATAGCAAGATCCTATCCCCCACCCTTACCGAAACAAAGCAAAACAAAAAGCCCCTGCCTACCCTTCTGCCCCGCGCTCACTGGCCAGCATCCTCTTCTGCTCCTTTTCCCACCTCTGCCCACATCTGGTTGTGTCGCTGGCTCATCCAGGAGCCTCAGCCCAGGATCTCCTATTCTACCCCAGGACCCTGTGATACCTACTTCCGCTGTCAGAATGGCAGGTGCATCCCCCCAAGCCTGGTGTGTGACCATTGGGGCATGGACAACTGCGGGGATGGCAGCGACCAGGGCTCCTGGCCACCAGCCAGCTGCAGAGGTCAGTGATGGTGTGTCCTGGGCCCTACTGAACAGCTAAGGGGAGTCACTATGATGCTGCAGGAGCCTACCATGGGGACAAAAGGGACAGGGCAGTGATGGGCATTCGGTTTGGACCAAGAGCCAAGGCTTAGGGTACTCAGCGCTAGAATGATGTGTATGGACCTGGTCCAGCTGTGGTAGAAGCCATCCTCTAATGGCACCTGGTGCAGGTGTGCTGCTGAACTAGATTTGCTCAGGGTTATAGAGCCACTAAGGAATATGAGCAGAAACGGATACCAAAAACAGAATAAAGGGCTGGCCAAATAGCTCAGCAGATTAAATGCTTGCAAGCAGGCGCAGGAGCTGGGGGTTCCATCTCCCAGGCTGCTGTGCCAGGGCCGCTCCCCCCCCCCAGGGAGCGCTGAGATAGCAATTGAGACTGGGCATGGTGGTAAGCCCAGCTCTTGGGAGGTTGTAAATAGGGGAGTCACTACGAGTCTGATCTAGTAGTGAGACCCTGAATACCCTGTAGACCCTTCCCTTAAAAAAAAAAAATACAAAGCAACAACAAAAAACCAAGGGCTGGGGAGATAGCTCAGCAGAAGAAGTGTTTGTCTGGCAGTCACAAGGTTGTGAATTCAATCCCCAGTATTGCAAAAAGCAAAACAAAACATAACCTTTCTTTTTTCTTTTTTGCGGAATCGGGGATTGAACTCAGGCCCTTGTGCTTGCCAGGCAAGCACTTATTCTTCTGAGCCATCTCCCCAGTTTTAAACTTTTTTTTTTTCTGTATTTTAGGGAAGGGTGTATAGGATGTTCAAGATCTCACTACTAGATCTGACTCATAGTGATTCTCCTATTTACAGTGTGCACCACCACACCCAGCCTCATTCACCATCTCAGCACAGCCTGGGGGCAGGGCCAGCACAGCAGGCCCTGGGGATTGAACTCCTGGCCCCTTCACCTGCTTGCAGGTGCTTTAATCCACTGAGCTATTTGGCCAGCTGAGAAAACCTTTCTGGGAATCTGGAGATGTCTCCTCTTCCTCAAGCCCCAATCAGGAGTGGGATGGAAGTGGGCATAATGGGGACATCTGTAATAACAATACTTGGAGGTGGAGGCAGGAGGGTCACTTCAAGTACAAGGCCAGCCTGGACTGCATACTGAGACCTTATCTCAAAAAGTGAAAACCGGGGCCTGGGAGATGACTCAGTAGTATAAGCACTTCCCTGTCAAGTGCAAGGGTCTGAGTTCAATCCCCAGTTCCACCAAAAAAAAAAAAAAAAAAAAAAAAAAAAAAAAAAAAAAAAAAGTGAAAACCACTAACTCCAGAAAAACAAAACTTAGCAAAAACAAGGAATGGACTGGAGGGAGGCAGGGCTGTTAGGTACGGTTGCACACGTTGTTCACTGCAGAAAAGCAGAACCCTACACACTTGCCTCCTGAGCTACCTTCCATGTTTTCTTGCAGATTTCTGGTTATTTCCCTGAAATTCAGTTCTTTGTGCCCTGAGGCTCAGTGCCTGTGTCCCTTTGTCCATCCACTAGCATTCTCTTGGTGGTCTCATTTCTTTTGTCTTGTTGTACTTGCCCACTGGGCATCTGGCCACAGCTGTGAGCAACTTCTCAAACTTCACTTGCCCCAAACTGGCTCCTGATCTCTCTTATCTTACCCCTGTGCCACCTGCCCTGTCTGAATAAGCAGCCCTGACCCCCACCGGTTGAGTTACCCCCTACTGCTTTGATAGTTTCAGCCCACAATGAAGCTACCAAGTCTATGGAAGGTTCCCAGCCTGAGCCTTCTCCTGGCTGCTCAGCAGCCAACTGGCCTGACAGCTGCCAGTCCTGTCTGGATTATTTTGGTGACTTCTGGTCTCCTTGCTTCTGTGCATTTTCCATGTGTAAGTCCAAAGTAGCTTTTCATTTTTTTCCCCTTCTAATAACTTTCATTAAAAATTTTTTTTCTTTAAATCATTTATTTGGGCCAGCCAAATAGCTCAGCAGAATAAAGCACCTGTAAGCAGGTACAGGGGCCAGAGGTTCAATCCCTGGGTCTGCTGTGCTGGCCCTGCCCCCAGGGTGCCCTGAGACGGGCAATTGAGACTGGGCGTGGTGGCACGAGCTGGTAATCCCAGCTCTTGGGAGGCTGTAAACAGGTGGATCACTATGAGTCCGATCTAGTAATGACACCCTGAACACCCTGTAGATCCTTCCCTAAAAGACTAGAAATGAAAATTAGGCTGGGGTGATAGCTTGGTGGTCTAAGGACCTGCCTGACAAGTGCAAGGACCTGGGTTCGATCTGCAGTACTGCATGCCATGCTGGCTCCGGAACCCTGGGCACACCATGCCAGCCACCAAAACCGGGCATGGTGGCGCACATCTGTAATCTCAGTGCTGGGGAGGCTGAGATAGGAGGACTCCCAACTGCATAGCAAGATCGTGTACTAAATAAATGAAAAACGACATAGTGAGACCTTGTCTCAACACACCCCGGGGCAGGGCTGGCACAGCAGGCCCGGGTATCGAACCCCTGGTCCCTGTACCTGCTTGCAGTCCTGTCCGCTGAGTTATTTGGCCAGCCCCTAATTTTTTAGAGCAGTTCCCCCCTGCCCTTGGTACTGAGTTACATCCCCAGGCCTTTCTTATATTTGCTAAATGGCCCAGGCCTGTCTGAGCAAGAACTTGAAATCCTTCTGCCGGGGCTCTGGGATCACAGGTGTGTGTTCATGCCCAGCTAGTTAGGTCTTCAGACGCCGCTTGGCTCTGGCCATTTCTCAGGATTTTTCTTTTCTTTTCCTTTTTCTTTTTTTTTTTTTTTTTTTTTTGTGGTACTGGGGATTGAACTCAGGCCCTTGCGCTTGCCAGGCAAGCACTTATTCTACTGAGCCATTTCCCTGGCCCCAGGATTTCTTTTTTGAGACAGGCTCTCACTATGTAGTTCAAGTTGGCCTTGAACTCACTAGGTAGCCTAGACTGGCTATGGCTGGCCTCAAGCTCTTGGGTATCCTACTTCAGCCTCCAGAGTGCTAGGAATGCAGGTGTTCTTTATTTATTTTTTTTTATTTTTAATTTTTAATTTATTTATTTATTTGTGTGTGTGTGTGTGTGTGTGTGTGGCCAGCTCAGCCCACCTAGGGGTGGGGCTCTCTGGCATGTGGTGCTGGGGGGATTGAACCGCGGTCCCTGTGCTTTGCTAAGTTTGTTCTAAGTAGGTGCTTTAGACCACTGAGCCATCTCACCAGCCCCAGGTATTCTTTAGAGCTAGCTCTTGTGCTCTTTCTGTTCCCAGTGGGCCTCTGCTGAACTCTTTTTCAGAAGTTTTATGTTAGGATGGCCCCCAGCACTAGGGAGGCTAAGGCAGGAGGATAACTGAAAGGTATCCAGCCTGGACAGAATAAGCACTTGCCTGGCAAGCGCAAGGTCCTGAGTTCAATCCCTGGTACCGCAAAAAAAAAAAAAAAAAAAAAAGACCAGCCTGGACTACAAAGTGAGTTCAAGGCCAGCCTAACCTACAGAGTGAGATCCTGTCTCAAAAATAGGGGAAAAAGGGGCTGGGGAGATGGCTCAGTGGATTAAGCACTTCCCTGGCAAGTGCAAGAGCCTGAGTTCAATCCCCGGTTCTGACAAAAAAAAAAAAAAAAAGAGGGGAAAAAATTTGTTTACATTGAAATGGTAATGCAGAGCCCACCTACAGTTCAATGCATAAATAAAATCTGGTCTGTCCAAATGATAAAACATTGGTCACCCTTAAAAAGGAAGGGAGCTGGGCATGCTTAGCAGTGCTAACTGAATAAGGTTTTCCAAACTTTAGGCTGAACTTTTTCCATTTTTTAAAATGTATTTGGTACGAGGTCTCACTACACAGCTCAAACTGGTAACGATCCTCCTGTCTCAGCCTCCCCAGCTCTGGGATTACAGGTGTGGGCCACCATGCCCGGACTCAATTGCGGGCTCAGCACGCCCGCCCGGGGTCAGGACCAGCTCAGCATGTGGTGCTGGGGACTCCAACCCTAGTTGCTCCGCTTGCCTAAGTAGGTGCTTAGTCCCATGAGTTATCTCTTGGCCCTAGCAATGCTAAATAAGTTGACTAGAGAAGGACAAATAGCCGAGCATGTGTATGGTGGTGATGCCTGTGATCTCAGTACTCAGGGGCTGATGCAGGAGGACCGCTGCAACTTTGAGGCCCCCTCGGACTACACAGTGAGTTAAAAGCTACACCCTGTCTCAACAAATAAACATGGTGCGAGTCCACTTGCTTGGTGTGATCAAAAAATATGAGTACTTAAAATTTTAAAAATTTAGATAGGAAAAGACACCTTGACATCTTCCCCCTGCCCCCAACATACTACTTCCACTGTTTGTGCCACTTTCTGAACCAGTTCTGGAAGTTCTTTTTTTTCTTTTCTGGGATTATAGGCATGCACTACCTTTTTTTTTTTTTTTTTCCCGGAACCGAGGATTGAACTCAGGCCCTTGCGCTTGCTGGGGAACCACTTATTCCACTGAGCCATCTCCCCGGCCCCATGCACTACCTTTTTTAGAAGGAGGTATGTGTGTGTGTGTGTGTGTGTGTGTGTGAGAGAGAGAGAGAGAGAGAGAGAGAGATGGTATTATTATGTAGTTCAGGGCTGGCCTTGAACTATGTACATTAGCCTAGCCTAAAACTCTCAGTGATCCTCCTGCCTCAGCCTCCCCAGTGCTGGGATTATAGGCAAGCGCCACCACAGCTGGCCCCATTTGACATGCTAATGTGGGTTTTTTTAATGTGCGTTGGGGGGAGCACCAAGGATTGAATTCAGGACCTTGTGCTTGCGAAGCAGGCACTTATGCCGCTGAGCTATCTCCCTGGCCCCAATTAATGTGTTTTGTTTTACTATACTAAGCAAGAATTACACAGACATTTTCATATCCCTCACTCATTAATATCCTTCAGGCCCCTAGTGAGCAAGTATGTGGCAGATTCCTAAGAAACACTAATCATATGAGTGGTACAGTGAGCCTCTATAGGGCTTGGTTTCCTTCCCTGTAAAATGGGGTGACATACCTCAACTTTTATTTTTTTGGTACTGGGAATTGAACTCAGGGTCTTGTGTTTGCCAGGCAGGCATTGTGCCACTGAATTATATCCCTAGCCCCTCAACTTTTTTTTGTGTGTGGAACTGGGGATTGAACTCAGACCCTTGTGCTTGCCAGGCAAGCGCTTATTCTACTGAGCCATCTCCCCGGCCCGCCCCTCAACTTTTAAAGTGTGATAAACTGTACATGGAACACTGTAGGCAGAGGGCTTGGCATACAGAAAATGCTCAATGTGTGTGTGTCCCCTTTCTTGAGAAAGAGTTCCAAGGACCAGCCAAATAGCTCTGTGGATTAAAGTGCCTGCAAGCAAGTGCAGGGGCCAGGGGTTCGATCCCCAGGCTGACTACGCTGGCCCCACCCCGGGGGTGCACTGCGATGGCAATTGAGACTGAGTGTGGTGGTGCGCACCTGTAATCCCAGCTCTTGGGAGGCTGTACACAGGCGGATCACTACAAGTCTGATCTAGTAGTGAGACCCTGTAGACCCTGTAGACCCTTGCCTGAAATTAAAAAAAAAAAAAAAGAAGTTCCAGTAAAAACCCCAGGACCTGCATCTGGACTGGGTGGGTTCAGATCCCTTCTAACTTCCAGTTATATGACCTTGGTGAGAAATTTTACCTCTCTGTGTTTCCCTTCCCTTATGTGTAAAATGGAAACAGTGGCAGAGAAGTCTGAGGGTGAAGTTCAAACACAGAAGTGCCCAGGAGGGGCAGTTCCCAGCCTCTTGGTCCTGTTACTGCAGGTCCCTCTCTGCCACCCAGCCAGGCAGGGAGCACGGTGAATGACTCCTCCAAGCCTGCGACTCTCTCTGTGACTCTGAGTTCTACAGGCCTCCTTGGGGGTGCGGTGCAGAAGAGGCACCCGGAAGGACAGGAATGTGCCCAACGGGACGCAGCTCTGGAAGGTAGATGGCTCATGATAACCCGTTTCTTCTCCTCCCACTGAAAGCTCACGCCCCCTTGACTGGGCGATGGGAGCCGGGCCAAGCTGAGGCCGAGTGGTCTCTTTCCTTCTGCAGGCCCTGGACTACATGCTCTGGCACTGGCTTCCCTGCTGCTTCTGGCCTCAGCTGGCCTCCTTGTAGGGCTGCTCTGGCGCCTCTGCTCTTCTGGCTGGGCGGTCTGGCAACTGGGGGCCCGAGGCCTGTGCCTCAGCTGCCGGGCAGCCAGGAAGATCTGCTACCCATGTCCTAGTCGAGTGGCCCCTGGGGGACTCTGGGGGCACCGCCCAGCCTTCCAGGACCAGGGAGGCCATCCCTAGAGAGGTCATGGCATTGGCGGAAGGAGCCAGGGCTAGCCTCCCCCAGGTCACTTAGTTCTCAGAGTCTTACACTGCCTCTGGTGAGTTGGGCAGTTCCTGCCTCAGGCCATGGGGAGGCTTGCAGGAAGTGAAGTGTACACAGTGCCAAGTCCCATGGCAGTGCCAGGGGCATCACTTGGCTGTATCAGGGGCCAGTGTGACCCCTGTGCCCAGCACAGGCATGGGAGCCTGGCTTCACACCCAGACCTCAGCAGCCAGCTGTGTCCCTGGCCAGCCTGCCCTCCAGGATCACTGAGTCAAGTCCCAAAGATGCACAGCAGACTCCTGGCGGGGATAGCACCGTTTATTAGGAAGAATCAAGACAAAGACCACAGGAAGGTCCCTTCTGGGGCCCGAGGCCTGGCATCCCAGTGCCAGATTATGGGGACGGCGGACCACTAGGCCCTCGGGCTGTCATCACCTCCCCACTTCTTCCCAGTCAGGGCTCTCAGGCTTCCCCACCCGAAGGCACTGGCTCTTCCTGACCACAGGCTCCCCCATGTCCCTGGGCCTTCACCTCCAGAAGAATGAGGGATGTGGCCAGGTGTGGACTGAGCCCTCGGTGTGGGTGCTTCAGGGAGAAGCGGGGGCCGGGACCCTGGGCAGTAGGTGGTGGGAATGGGGGTTCTGCCAGGAGTGGTGACCTGTGCTGGGCGGAGGTTGGGGGCTGGAGGGGGCTGGGAGGGGGCTGGCGGGTGAAGGGTGAGCTGCCTTCTGCTCCTCAAGGGACGCTAAAGACTTTTCCAGCCCATGGGTAGGAGGCAAGGCCCTGTGATGCCCCCTATTCAGTTAGCTGGTGGGCACCAGGTGGTGAGCTCAGCTGGTCCTCAGGAAGGAGGGCTGCCCAAGGGCTTCCACAGGGGGGCAGCCGTGTTCTACTTTGGGGACTTCATCAGGGCAGGAGGACCTGGGATATACCTGGGCCTACCCAGCCACTGTCCTGACCTCAAGTCTTGGTGGCTTTCCAAGGCATCAGACCCTCCCACCTGCCCTGTTCACCAGCCTCAGGGCTTTGCCACACACATGGGAAGCTGGCATGCCCACCCTCCAGTCCAGCCCAGGGCAGTAGCAGCAAAGCGTGGCATTGCCTCAGTTTCTTACAAAAAACTCATAATAATAATAATAATAATAATATTAATAATAATATACTCGACACGGTCAGGCTGGGCACAGCCCGGAGTCCATAGGGAGCAGGCAGGTGCCTATGAGGGGCAGGGACGTGTGTTGGCCCCAGCCTGGGCATAGTGCTGCAGGTCCAGGGGCTGGGGTGGTGGGGCACCAGGCCCAGCTGAGTGCAGCACCAGGTTCCTAATACAGCCAGTGATGCCAGAGGAGAACCTGCCTCCTGTCAGTGTGGCCACATCCGGGGCTCCACCTGTGGACAGGGGAGTAAGAGTGCTGGTGGGTGCCAGAGGCCCGGGCAGGGCCAGCTGTGTGACCACCATGACCTCCCTGCCCTCGGTGGGCTCCTGACCACCCTAAGCCAGCACAGGACTTACCAATGTATACACTGCCCTTGGTGTTGACCGCGATGTTGGGGCCTGGGGACTGGCCCCTCACCAGCTCCTCGCTGTCAACCCGGATAGAACCTCTCCGGCCCTCTCTGCAGTGGAGTGGGGTCAGGACCCTGCCCATCCCACACTCCTGTCCTCCCAGCCCACCCATGGACTCTATCCCCTTGGCATGGAGACTCTGGACAGTGGGGCTGGCCCTGCTCCCTACAGTCCTTCTTTTCCCACCCTGGGTGATGGGCTAGCCCTGCAGACCCAGCTAGGAGCTGCCACCACCTTGTCTGCTCTGACCAGGGAACTCTCCAACCCCAGCTCCCTGTCCTGTCTCGCAGAGCTCAGTGCCCAGTCCCTGCCCGTGGTGGGGGCATCTTGTCCCTCTACAGGACCCTAGTCTTCTTCCCAGATGCCTCGCCAGGTTCTCTCACCGTAGCACTGTCACCCGGTGCCACTCGCCGTCATTGACAGGGTCCTCAGAAACAAGGCGGGCCTCCCCACTGCCTAGCTGGTAGCTGGAGTAACAGAGGTCCACCAGGTATGAGTTGGTTCAGGACTGCAGGTATGGGGTGGCAAGGGGGATGTGTGGCCGGGGCACCAGCAGGGGCAGCTTCTCATGGGAGGAGCCAGGAAGAGGGGGAGGAAGGGCAGGGTGCCAGGGCCTACCTGAAGACAGGGTGACCATCCTGCAGCCCAAGGCTGATGAAGTCCTTTCCTCGGCTGGCCTCCCCCACCTCCTGCCAAGGAAGCACGGGCTCTCTGAGCTCTCCAGCTTGTAGAACTGAGGTCCCGATGCTGTAGTCTCCACCTTCCTCTCCCTCCTCCTGGCCCTAGCCATCAACAGGCCAGCCCTCTGCCCCAGGGATCCCGACACCCCACACCAGCTGTCCACTCACCGCGCCCTGCCATAGCAGCAGACCATTGGCTGTGCCAGTCCGAACCTCCAGCTCCATGGTCTCGGGCACTTCAGGCAGGCTGCTCAGGAGAGTGGGTATGTGAATGGATGGAGGTCTCAGATTCCTGCCCTCCCACACCTGGACGCACACTTTACAACCAGGGCCGGTCTTACCTCCTGGAGAAGATGTGGCTAGGGAAGGCCAGGAAGCCACCATCATGGAAATAGGCTCCGTACTGCCCAGGGGCATCTGTGGGAGGGGGAAGGGTGAGACATCTCACCAGCCTAGGCACGGTCCCCAGGGAACCCCACCCCCACCCCTTTGGGGGCCCTGAACTTGTGGTCCCTGGGTACTATCCCAAAGGGGCCACCAACAGAATGCTTGGGGCCATGAACTTGGGCTGGAAAGCATGTCTATTTCCACTCAGTTTTCAATGACATTCAGCAGCACCTTCAATTATGGATGTCAGCAACCAAGCAGAGTAGCAGCAGCAGGGATTGTGACTTTGTCCCTAGAATTTGTCTAGCACATTGTAGTATTGCAAGTATCTCAAAATATTGTTTATGCTCATGACTTATTTACTATGCTAATAAAGCACATATATGAGAAATGAAAAAAAAATTTATAACTTTATTATCAAGTCTACTGGTTTCCTTTGAAATCCTGTGTCTCTTACTGTATGTGGTTGATCGGATCCACAGCTGTCTGTCTCTATCTGCCATGTCCCCTTAGTTTTAGCTCTGAGAGTCCCCAGCAGGCTGGGACAGCTCGTCACTTGGTGCCTGGCAGTCAGGTTCAGAGCCCATGCTTTGCCTCTGTCTCAAGGAGGCAGCAGGGCAGTCAGGCTCAGTAGCAGTACTCTGGAACTGGGAAGCTGGGATTGTGACCAGAGCCTTTCAGTCCAATGTTCACACTGTGGGGCTGTACCATCCCCACCTCCACCTGCTCACAAACCACCCCACAGGCCAATGTGGCCATGGGTGGCCAGCCAGCTGCAGGGGACATGCAACCACTTTCCACTGAACCATTTCAGTGACTGCTAACACCATGTACTGCTCTATGCCTGTGCAGGGAGCTTCTCACTTGGCTGCAAACATTTCATTTAAACGAACCCTTGTAACAACCCTCTGAGGGTTGCCTTATGGAGTGCCTTATGGAGTGCAATCCTTCTGTTTAATCTTCATTTAATTACTTTGGAAAACTGAAGCACAGAGAGGTTAAGTGACTCATCCAGAGTCACACCATAAGTGACAAGGCCTAGATTTTGTTTTTTTGTGCTATCAGGGATTGAACTCAGGACCCTGCACTTGCCAGGAAAGTGCTTATTTTACTGAGCTATGTCCCCAGCCAAGGCCCAGATTTGAACCCAGGCAGGCTGGCTTCAGAGTCCATGCTCTTAAGCACTACATTATGGCCTCTCCTATTGTATTAGTGATGAGATGTATGTACCTATAAAGGGCTTCACACCTATAAATGTTCAGCAAACATTGTTACTTTTATATATGTTTTTGTGTATTGGGGATTGAACCCAGGTCCTTATACATGCTAGGCAAGCACTCTACAACCTACTCCACACCCTCAGTCTTTTTGTGCATGTGTGTGGTAATGGGGACTGAATGAAGGGCCTTTACCTTCCCAACTACCTCCCCAACCTCTATCTATCTATCTATCTATCTATCTATCTATCTATCTATCATCTATCTATCTATCTTTGTCTGAGACAGGGTCTCACTATGCAATTCAGACTGGCCTTGATCTCACTTTGTAGCCCAGGCTGATCTTTAACTTGAAATAATCCTCCTGCCTCAGCCTCCCAAGTGCTGGGATTAGGGCGTGCCCCACTACCCCTGGCATAGTGACTTTCATTTTTAAACCGACAGTAGAATCCTTGAGAGCAAGGGGCCTGCTTCTTCATTTTGTATTACTACTCCCAGGGCACAGCTGGGCACACAGTAGGTGTCTGTGGATTGGATGAGGGCATAAGCGGAAACTGAGGTCAGAGTGGTACAAAGAACCACTCAAGGTCACCTGGGCAGTGAGCTTGGGGAAGGACCCAGATCTGTGTGGCTGTGCTTTTCTTTCTGCTGCCTATCTGTACCCAGCAAGCCCGTTATCTAGGCCTTTCTGCTTAGAGGCTAGAGCAAAACTGTGGGTAATCAGAGGAGAAGGCTGAGGCCAAGGAGCAGAGGAGGCCACAGGGCCACAGCACGTACGTACCATTGCCCCCACTGCCCTCAAGGTGCCAACTGGACTCCGCTGTGCCATGTTCAGAGCCTGTGGGGAAGGGGGAGTTCAGTTGGTGGGTTCTGGCCCCTGGGGAAACTTGTCTGGCCCAAGGACACCCAAAGGAAGTGAGAGGAAGCCGGCCGTGGATACCTTGTTGGCAGCGTGAGCCAGAGAAGCCAGGGGGACAGAGGCAGTGGGTGCCCTGGCAGGTGCCCCCATGCAGGCAGGGCTCACGGAGCTGGCAGGGGTTCTCCTCATGCTCACAGAGGTCTCCTGTAGGCCAGGGAAGAGGTGGGTGTGTGGGCAGGGACCCGAGGTGCCACCAATCACTTGTGCCAGCTCTGCAGTGATAGCTGGCATCCAGCTGGTACTGAGCCTCTGAAATGGGGAGTGTGGTGGGCAAGGATCCCCCCGCGCCTGGGCTAGCTTTGCTCTCACACCTTTGAAGCCATCTTGACACAGGCACTGGAACTCGTACTCGCCAGCGGGCATGCACGTGGCGCCATTGCGGCACGGCTGTCGCTCACAGGGCGAGCTGTCGTAGCACTGCCCGATGCCCTGGCTGCCCAGGAAGCTGTAGGTGAGGTCCAGGCGCTTGCCATTCACAGACACCTGTGGGGGCAGGGACGCCAAGGGGCTCAGTGTGCCAGCAGAGAAGAATGCGGCAGGGTGGGGGTACCCAGGAACCCGGGCAAGAGCCTGAGCATGGGAGGACGGTGCAGAAGTTGTGCACAGGCCTACTGTGCGCCGGCTCTCGGCACACTCTGCCGAGGAGTCGCCATCGTTCCCACTTTGCAGAGAGGAAACGGTTGGTCAGAAGCTGCGGATCCCAGGGCCCAGCAAGCATCAGGCAATGTTGGTTTGTCCCAGCCCCCTCTGAGCCCCTGCAGTGTCTCCAGAATGCCTGACACTCACCTTGCCCACACAGCCACGGAAGTGAGCGCTCACGTTGGTGGCTGGAGACAGTGGCACAGAGGGCTCCACACCACCCAGGTAGAGGAGAGTGTGCAGGTTGAGGCCCTGGCTCTTGCCTGGAGAGGAGCGCAGCACAGGGCGCCCCCCATTCAGCCGTAGGCTGCCGTCCTTGTTCAGACGCTCTGCAGACACTCGGTGCCAGCGGCCCAGGGCCAGAGGCTCAGGGCTCCGCAGGACAGCCAGCCCTAAGGGGGCATGGAGCAGGGTCAGGCACCCGGGGGCGAGGGGGGTCCTGGCCCTGACCCCCTCCCTCAGCAACTTGAGCAGACAGGGAACTTCCCCAGGGAGGGACTCATGGCCCGAGTTTAGTCAATCACATAGGGACGGGGAGGGAAAAGGGACTACAAGGGGTTTGGCTGCTGGATTTATCCCTCAGTGCCTCCTTGGGGATTGAGAACTGATGAGGGCACAGCCGAGCACCCTGAGACCGGTGTGCATCTGGTGCCCAGTGCCTACCTGACCCCAGCTCATAGCGGAACTCCAGGTGGCCGCCAGCCATTGCCAGGGACACGAAGTCCTCCACAGGCCCAATCCTCCCTCCACTGAATAGTAGGATGCCATCGGGCTCCAGGGGCTTGAACTCCACGTCCAGCCGTAGCTCGTGGTGTGTGTTGGTGAGGGCAGGGAGTGCTAGGTAAGAGCCGGTGCCCGACATGGATGGGGTGGTCACTGTCACACCTGCAGCAGGCACAGCTCAGTCAGAGGCAGTGGGGGCCGAAGGGCTCTGGGCAAGACCCCGCTACTCAGACTCCTTTGGGACCCCTGCCCACCTCATTCCCCTTTGAGATTCGGTACCAGCTGGGTGCCAGCTGTCACTGCCCAGGAGCCCCTGGCCTGGCCCTGCACGTCAGGCCATGAGTACCTCCCGCATGCTAGGGCTCCCTAGGGGGCCTCACATAAGGGATTCAGGGTGGCAGGAGGGTGGGCAGGTGACTGAGATCTTCTGGCTTCAGAATAAATCTGTGACTTTTCGGGTCCATCACAGCTTCTGAATGCCCTGCCCAGCCTTTCCAGCTGTCACTGAGACCCTGGAGGTCACACTCTACTTACCTTCCTCACACCTCACCCCTGAGCGACCCAGGTGACAGCGGCAGGTGTAGCCTCGACCGTCAGGTCGGTTCACACAGGTGGCATCAGGTCCACAAGCCTCTGGGGGGCACAGGGGCCAGTGAAGAGGACAGTGAGGTGATTCAGATGCCTAAGCCTCGCCCACTGCAGATGGCCATTAGGGCTACGCCAGCCTGGGAGGGGTGCCAGGAGAAGCAAGAGGCCAGGCATGGGACAACCAGGGGCATGACGGGTGACCATGTGTCTGTTAGTTCTTTTCTTTTCTTCTCTTTCTTTCTTTCTTTCTTTCTTTCTTTCTTTTTTTTTTTTTTTTTTTTTTTTTTTAGTACTGGGGATCAAACTGAGGACCTTACGCTTGCTAGGCAGGCACATAAGCCGCTGAGCTATCTCCCCAGTCCTTGTGTGTCTGATATCGCTTATTACATTATTACTGGGCAGCAGTATGCCCTGAGGGATAGATGGGCAGAAGGCAGGAAGATCCCTGGGCTGAGGCGAGAGCCTGGTTGGTCATGGTGGGGAAACCTCCAGTCCTTGGGTAAGAGTGACGGGGTGTGGAAGGACCCCAGCCACAGCAAGAGGAAGTGACACAGGAAAGGGCAACACCTGGGGAGATAGTGGCTGCAGGGTGGGGACATACCTGGGTGGCAGTGCAGGGCCTGCGAGTGCTCACAGCGGCTCCCAGTGAAGCCGGATGGGCAGATGCACACATAGCTGCTGCTCTCCGAGTCCTGGCATTGGCCCCCATTCTGCAAAGCAGCCACCACACGTTAGGCCAAGAACACCTGGCCCTCCATTCCCCCCAGAACCAGCCTTGGCTCAGGCAGGGTGTGTGGGCAAGGACCACCTGGCATGGGCGGTCTCGGCACGTGGGGCAGTGGGAGATGCCATGCGCCGTGAGGTTGAGGTCGTGGAAGACGATCTCCTCACCCTGGATACGTAGCTCCCGCACACAGCCTAGGGGGCAGGTGGGTGGATGAGTGGGGGCAGGGTGTCAGCCCACACCCTGCAGTGTCCACCCAGCTCAGCTAGGGGCAAGGAGGCAGGCTTACCCACAAAGCCACTGCTCAGCCCTGCCTTGGGGATGGCGCCATAGTCGGGGTAGCCACCTAGGTACAGCTCTTCATTCAGGTCCAAGCCCTGGAACTTGCCCTGGGGAGGTGGAGTAGGGTGTCAGGAACGACAGATAGGTGGGACAGGGCTGGCTTGGGCTAGGAACAGAGGACAGGGTCCAGTCTCACCTGGGATGTCCCATTCACTGGGGCCAGGTTGCCCACAATGAGGGAGCCCTGGGTGAGGCTGCGCAGCAGGGTGACCGTGTGGAACTGGCCCAGGGCCAGCGGTGTGGGGTGGCGGATGGTGGCCATGCCAGAGCCTGCATCAAACCTGCTCCATGGGGCAGGGCAGGAACAGAAGAGAGTAAATGTTGGGGCTATAATATGGGTTAAGGAGGGGCCCAGCATGCCAGAGGATGTTACCATGTCCAGTTCCTGGCCCTGCTCTGTCCTCCTGTATCACCCACCCCAATGAAGCCGACCCATCCCTGCCTCTTCCCTAGGTCTTCCCTCCCTGCCCCGTGAGGCTTGAAGACCCTGGACTCGGAGGTGCTGCCACCTGCCAACTGGCTTTGCTGCTCCTCAGTTTCCCTCTCTCTGAGATGACCTTGCTTTCCTTGTTTATGGTGTGAAGCCCCTGCTGCCGGACACAACCCCACAAGGCCAGAAGTTGGCCTGTTCTATTGATGCTTGTGTTGGTCCCTGGAATGTTGTAGCCATGTGCTGGATGGATGAATGAATCAGGCCTGCGTCAGAGGCCCGAGTTGTTGGTGCCTCTCTCCTCTGCCTAGCCCGCTGTGCCGAGTCTACTCTTGCAGACTGGGTGGTCGCCAAGGGTGATGACCGCATCTTGTCCCTCCTCCAGTATCACCTTTGTACAACGCAGCCCAGGAAGGTGTACACCTGGCTAATGTTGTGTGTCCAGCTCCCCACCCGTCCCTCTCCTTCAGACAAGGAGGTTGAGGGTCTCACCGGAACTCGGGCCTGCCACCCACGAGGCCAAAGGAGATGAAGTCAGGCTGCCTGCTGGCTTGGTTGGGGGGGCTCCCTGGGCCCCGCTTCTGTCCATTGTACAGCAGCATCCCTGGGTGGGCAAAGCTCAGTGAGGGCCCCTCCAGCCCTAGGCTCCCTGTCACCCCTGCCTTCTGAATGACTCAGCCTCCTGAGTCTTTCTGCTGCAACCCTGGTTCCCTCCCTTGGGCACACCTTGGGTGGCCAGGGACCTCTCTGAACTCAGGGGCCTTGCTGAGAGTCCCGAGACAGAGACAGAAGTGGTTCATGCACACGCCAGGGTCTACCTGAAGGAGGCAAAGGAGGCGAAGAAGGCAGAGACTTACCTGAGTAGAGAAGAAGGCCTGGACAGTGAAAGCCAGAGAGCCGTAAGAGATGAGAGAGAGAAAGGAAAGGGTGAGTGATGGCAGGCGGAGGAGGGAGGGAGGAGCAGAGACCAGGATAGGAAGATGGGACAGAGGCACCGAGGCAGCAGCACCAGGGAGGGCCAGGTTGTCATCCGGGTAGGGTGGTGAGAGCAGACAGGAGAGAGGAGGTGAGAGGGCCCCTGTCTGCAGGCTTCTGACCAGGGAGGGCGAGGGTGCTGGGCGAGATGGGGCCGCGGGGCTCACACAGGTTATCCACGAGTTTCCCACCCCCCACCCTCCCTCCCCTCCTCTTTTGCTGCTCACCATCAGCTGAGTCTGGCCGGAAGGTGATCTTGATCTCAAACTTCCTGTAGGCATCCTTGATGGTGGGCAGCGGCAGGAAGGAATGTGGGGTCTGGGTGAAGTAGGGCACCACTCTCTCTGCCAGCAGAGAACACCATTAGGGAAGGTGCCCCATGCAGAGTGGTGGGCACTGCCAATTCAATCAAGGCTGGCCACTATCCTACCTGGCACCTGCAGATGCACAAAGGCCTTGACCTTGCCCTGCCGGTTGGTAGCCGTGCAGACGTAGGTGCCTGCATCCTGTGGCTGGACCAAGGGTAGCATCAGCATGTTGTTCTCCAGGCGGCTTTCAGGGGGCAGGTTGCCATCCAGCTGCAAACACCAGCACTGAGGCCCTGGCCTCGGCCACACCTCCCACAGGGCCACCCACCCATCCCAGCCTCGGCTGGATTCCCAACACTGCATGTGCTCCGTGCCAGGCGTCCTGGGCCCATACCCAGCTGGTACCTTGCTCCAGGCGATGTCAGGAGTTGGGTAGCCTGAGACCATGCAGGGGAAGACGGCTGCAGAACCAGCGGGCACTCGGACCTCTGCGGGGGCGGAGATCTGGGGCAAGGCTGAAAAGCAAGGGGACACAGGCCATCATTGGGATCACAGCCACCACCATGCCCATCTAAACCCTGTCCCTGGAGGCAGGCCCATATCACAGACAAGGGATCTTTAGCTGCTCACTCCAGGTCGCACAAATAGGACCAGCAGTCGGGGCTCAGAGACAGGGCCACTTTGACTTCACAGCCCAGACCTCTGCAGATGCCCGGCTGCAAAACTGCACTACCCTCTGGGGACCCAAGAAAACTAAGGCAGTGTAGGTGGGTAGGCTTGGGGTCAGTCACCCAGGGTTTGGAATAAAAAGGAGCAACTGCCCTCAAAGAGAAACAGTTTGTGTCTACTCTGTGCCTGTTGTCCTTGTTTCATGGTAGTGTTTTTTAATGTATTTAGTAGAGACAGGTTCTATAGGGTCTCACTATGGAGATCGGACTCATAGTGATCCTCCTGTTTTCAGCCTCCCAAGCACTGGCATTAAAAGTGCGTGCCACCACCCCTAGTCTTAATCGCCATCTAAGTGCACCCTGGGGTGAGGCCAGCACAGCAGGCTGGAATGGAACCTCCAGCCACTGCATCTGCCTAAGCAGGCGCTTTAATCCGTTGAGCTATCTGGCCGGCCCCTTTGTGGTGGTGTTCATGTTCCATCTCTGCCATCTGACCGAGCTGCAGGTCTTCCCTGGAAAGCATGGGCACTCTCTCCTTCTGAAGACTGCAGACCTGTTTTCCTCTGGACACCACGTGGCATGGCACTCCCCAGCCTGCCCCAGAGAAATTCACTGCACATTTTTTTTTTTTTTCTTGGCAATGCTAGGGATTGAACCCAGGACCTCATGCATGCTAGGCCAGTGTTCTACTACCGAGTTACAATCCTGGCTCTTTGAATTTCGAAACAGGATCTTGCTAAACTTTTGATCTTCTTGCCTCAGTCCCCCTAGTAGCTGGAATTAAAAGCAGAGCACCCACTCTTTCTCCTGGCTGCCACCATTTGCTGTAAAGTCTGGCTTTATTTATTTATTTATTTATTTTTGTATCTTAGGGAAGGGTCTGTAGGGTATTCAGGGTCTCACTACTAGATCAGACTCGTACTGATCCACCCGTTTTCAGCCTCCCAAGCTCCCAAGAGCTGGGATTGTATGCGCAAGCCACCACTCCCAGTCTCAGTTGCTGTCTCAGCGCGCCCTGCAGGCAGGGCCAACACAGCAGGCAGGGGGATCGAGCCCCTGGTCCCTGCACCTGCTTGCAAGCCTGGCTTTTGTATACATGTAGCTCAGGGTCCCCAAAATAGCAGAAAGGAGAAAAGCAGGCCAATGAAGACAAGGCAGCATGAGGAGCCCCTGCCTGTGTCCCTGTCCCCTCACGAGGTCCCCTCATGCTGGCCTTCACCTTGCACGAGCAGCAGCACATGGGACTGGGTGGTGCCCGCAGCATTGGTGGCTGTGCAGCGGTACTGTCCTGCATCGGCCAGCTCCACGTGGGCAATCCTGATGACACTTCCGCTCTGCACGACGCCAGGCCGCAGGCGCCCTCCAACTTTGCTCCACGTCACCTGAGGCTTGGGGTCACCCAGCGCCAGGCACTCGAACTCAACAGAATGGCCGACCACCACGGTCTGCACGGAGGTGCGGATGTTGATGAGCACAGAGGGCAGGGCTGGAGGTTGGAGGTGGTAGGAAGTTAGTGTGCGCGTGCGCGCGCACGCGCATGTGTATGTGTGATACTAGAGATTGAGCCCGGGCATCTCCCGCACCCTCAGTCCTTTTTATTTTGTGAGACTGGATCTTGCTAAATCACTAAGTTGCCCAGGCTAGGCTTAAACTCTCGGTTCTCCTGCCTCAGCCTCCTACAGTGCTGGGATTACGGGTGTACGCTACCATACCTGGTAATCTGAAGGGCTTTCTGTGGAACCTGGTTGGAGCCCGGCACCCTCTCCCTTCTATCTCTTGCTCTTAACAGAGGCCTAAACTATCGCCCTACCTTGGACAATCAGCCTGGCGCTGGCCTGGGCCTGTCCCCAAGGTCCATGCGCCTGGCAAACATATGTCCCTTGGCAGCTCTGGTCTAAATTCTGGAGTCTGTAAAGACAAAAAGGGTAAGATCAGAGAGGGAGACCGATGGAGAACACCTCGTAATTGCAAGGGAGTTGCCAGTAACACAGGTCAGCACCCAGCAGCAGCTTCTGGCCTCCCATAGTGATGACTGAGGCAGCAAGGCAGACGGGGTGGCCGGCACGCCCGTTCCAGATGAAGACCCACTGCTCTGGAGTGCAGGGTCCCAGTTCCCCGGTCACAGGGCTACTGTTTCTTTTCCATCGCTCTAGGCCCAAGCACGCACTAAGTGTGTGTGCCAGCCACGGTTTCCATGTGCTATACGTGGAGGCTCAGGGAGGTCAAGTGACCCGCCCAAGGGCTTCACTTCAGGCCCAGGCCCACAGGAGTCATGGCTGAGTACCAGGGCACTCCTGGGTCCCCGTCACTCACCGAAGTACCCCATCTTGCACGCTGTGGCCAGGAGGCAGCTGACCCCCTTCCTTGAACCAACGGAGCTGAGTGCCTCGGTCACTGGGAACAGCACAGTGGAACTCGGCGCTGGCCCCGATGCTCTTCGTCTCCAGCTGTGGAGTGACCTGCACGGTGGCCGTGGGTTCTGCTGGGCCATGGGTATCAGGGGAAGAGCCAGAGGGGCCTGCGGAGACATGTGAGAGTCTGTCTTTGTCTACCTTGCCCATGCTAGTCTGGAATGCCTACCCTCAAGTGACCCTCCTGTCCCTGTCTCCTGAGTGACTGGGACAAGACTGTGACACTGTACTTGGCTTCTAAGCTTCCTTATGGCATGTCCCTAACACTCTCCCTCCTCAATCCTGGGACCCAGGAAAGCACCATCCCATATTCAGAGAGTGGTCTCCTGGCCCCTTACTTTCTCCTTGTGTGGTCACTCAGTCAACACAAATGAGGGCCCGGGCAGTGCGTGACTCCTCTAGCGGCTCCCATCCTTGGGACTGGGGGCATGAGATGTGGCCCAAGGCAGGACCAGGAGGGGGTAGGATAGCAAAGATGATTCTGGCTGCTGTCTAAAATTAGAGAAGGAAAGGCCAGGTGTGTGTTGCACACTCGTAATCCCAGCACTCGGGAGGGTTAGGCCGGAGGACTCTGTGAGTTCAAGGGTAGCCTAGGCTACAAAGTGAGTTCAAGGCCAGCCTGAGGTGCATAGTGAGACCCTGTCCCGAAAAGACAGAAACAAACGAACAACGAAATAGGAGAATGCAGAGATGTGGCCATAGTGAGGGTCTCTCCGTGTTGGGATGGCTAGGTGGTTTCAGAGGGTAGTGCTGCCATGAGCCATGGGCTTTATACAATCATGGACCTTTCTCTCTCTCTCTCTCTCTCTCTCTCTCTCTCTCTCTCTCTCTCTCTCTCTCTCTTTCTCTCTCTCTCTTTTCTGGTAGTGGGAATGAACCCTTAGCACTGAGCTCCAGTCCTTTTTATTTTATTTATTTATTTATTTTTATTTCGAGTTAGGGTCTTGCTAAGTGGCTGATTTGGCCAGGCTGAGCTTGAATTTGTGATTCCCTTACCTGGGCCTCCCACAGTGCTGGGATTATGGGCTTGCGCCACCACCCCTAGACCATGTGTTTTCCTAACCAGCCTGTGATGAAGCGTCTCCTCTTCACTTTACAGATGAAGACACTGACACTTGAGGTTAAAGGACTTGGCTGAAGTTGCACAACTGGGTCAGAGTTCAGGTTTCAGGGACCTGTGGGTTTCATGTTTTGCTGCTTCTAGAATTTTTAGAATTCTTTGCAGGCAGCAAAATAGATGCTGTCCTGGCAAGCGCAAGTTCCTGAGTTCAATCCCCAGTAATGAAAAAAAAAAAAAAAAAAAAATGCTGTCTTCAGTGATGCACTTAAGACATGGGCATGATACAAGAAGGCCTGTCACCTACTTATTTATTTATTTAATGTATTTGGTACAGGGTCTCACTACGCAGCTTGGGCTTATAGTGATCCTCCTATTTTCAGCCTTCCCAGCACTGGAATTACAGGCATGTACCACCACACTCAATCTTGGTGGCTGGCTTGGTCCGCCTGGAGTGGGGCTGGCACAGCACGTGGTAACAGAGATCAAACCCAGATCGTTGAGCTTGCCTTGGCAAGCGCTTTGACCACTGAGCTATCTCTGCAGTCCAGTGTCACCCACTTATTATCGGCCCTGTCAAGTGTTTACCCTGCCCATCCTAAGCCCTACGTAGGACCAACCCAGGGGTTGTTGGGATAACCGAGTCCGGGCCTGCCTGAATGTCCTTGGTGACTACTAGGTGAGGCAAGCTGGGTGTCTACATGAACACAGTAGCTTCCTCTGGCAGTGCAAAGCCAGTGCCAAGGGCAAGGAGCTGGAGGGGCTGGGAACAGCAATCAAGGGTCTTCTGGGAGGAAGCCAGCCCACCTTGGGCCTCAGAAAACAGAGAAGATGGCATTTTGGGTGGGATAATGGGGGGAGGCCTTTATCCTGTGTTTTTATTTATTTATTTATTTTTGTGGTACCGGGGATTGAACTCAGGACCTTGAGCTCGCCAGGCAAATACTTATTCTACTGAGCTATCTCCCTGGCCCAATCCTGTAAGTGTTGATCCCCAAGTGCCCATGGCTAGGTCACTGAAGGGCTGGCAGGAAAGCTGACCACTCTGCCCACACTGAGCCCTGGCTGCTTACCTTGGACAAGCACCTGGGCAAAGGCCTCAGCTGAGCCCACCTTGTTGGTGACCTGGCAGCGGTAGCGGCCGGAGTCCTCAGGGCCAGAGGGCTCCAGGTGCAGTAGCTGGTTCCTGGTGGTTGCTCTCGGAGGAAGGCTGCCACCCACCCGGCTCCATTGGAAGGTGAGCGGGTGTGTACCGTGAGCCAAGCACTGTAGCTGAACCTGTTCCCCGGCTCGCACTGACGTGTGCTCAGGAACTATCGTGGCATACGGTGGGCCTGGGGTAGGGAATGGACAGAGACATCAGGGCGGGTGAGGACAGAGGGCAGGTTGGCAATGGGCAGCTGGACCTCCACGCAGGGCGAAGATTGAACCCCAAGGAGAGGGGGTAAGTGACTTACTCTCCACATGCAGGATGATGGTGGCCTCAGCGTGCCCAGTGGGGCTGGTGGCATTACAGATGTACTGGCCCGAGTCCTGTTGGGCTACTCTGGGGATGATGAGTGTGTCACCTTCCTGCCGGTGCTGCCAGGGCAGTGGGGAACGAAGCTTGGACCAGTGGATGGTGGGTGGGGGATCGCCTGTGGGGTAGAGAGATGACAGCACTGGGCACCAGACTGCCTCTGGGGTGAGGGGGGTGCAGGAAGGACCCTGGGTAACCTGTCTCTCCATGGGGTCTACCAGGTGGGTGGCTCCTGGGCATGACATCTTCAGATACTGTGTCTGCCGTCCAGGCCCCAGGGCACCACAGCTCTGGCAGCCTGTGGCCCGCCTCTGACCACACCTGTGGCTGAGCAGCGCAGCGTAGCGGTGCGTCCAGCCTCCACGGTCAGCTCGGCTTCTTCCACTTGGACCTGGGGGGCACCTGGAGCCACCGTGCCAGTGTCCACAGTCACTTCCACCCTCTTCTGTGCTGTGCCCAGGGCATTCTGGGCTAGGCACACATAGGTGCCTGAGTCAGATGGTTTAGCTGATGAAATCTAGAAGCAAGTGAGAAGACGCTTGTTATGCGGGTGCTGGGCCAGGGCCTTTGACACTGCTCTTCCCTGCTTTTGGTTCTCCTGTCTGACTGCTCCAGGGCCCACCTCCACAGCATCCCTATAATCCATCCACTTGGCCATCGGGCCATCTCCCCACTCCTCTGTGTTATGGTTTGTATCTAGTTGTCCCCCCAAAGCCTCATGTAAGTCACATGTCAGTCACTGCTTGAGGGGCAGCACGTGGCTCGAGGGGGCGTGGCCAGATGACCAGGGCGGGGCTTGAGGGGTGGGGCCAGAGAGGCTCGAACTGTTAAACTGGCTAGCCTGTGCTTTCTCAGAGGTGTGGAGAGGGTCATCCTGGACACGGCTGTGCCCCAGCCTCTCCTCCAGTGTCTTGAAGCCTCTAGTAACTGTGAGCTAAATAAACCTTTTCTTCCCTCATTTTGAGTGTTGGGTATTTGTCGCAGCAACAAGAGAAGAGTAACTAATACACTCTGCCTGCTCTCCCATCTGTCCTCGTGTCCCTCCTTTCTTCCTTTTTTCCTCCCAACTTTCTTGCCTTCTCCTATCTTCTGATCTACTCATCATCCACCTATCCCAACCCTCCTTTCCGCTCTCCATCCACCCATCTTCCACCCACTATGGCCTCCTGCAGGTGCCTGCTCAAGGCGAGGTCCTGGGCAGGGGGACCTGGAGGAAGAAGGGCTTGACCTCACCTTCAGCACTGCGTGGCTGTTCACATGCCCAAATGTCCGTGGCTCCAACCTGGCAGGGGTGCCCATCCGGGTCCAGCGCACAGAGGAGCGGGGCTCCCCAGGACTGACACACTCCAGGGCAATGTCCTTCCCTGCTTTCACCTGCACAGGTCCCTCAGGGAGTACGGACACCATAGGAGGCCCTGCCCAGAAGAACAGCAATGGCTGAGCCACCAGCAGGTTTCACCAAGCATGCGCAAAGAGGAGAAAGCCCAAGATAGAGCAGAGGCAGGAATTGAACTGAGCTGGGAATCAGGGTTGGAAATGGGAAGGCAGAGCTGTGGGGTTGACACCTCCTCACCGTGCACGTTGAGGGTCACAACACTCTGGGCCACACCGTAGGCGTTGGAGGCCACGCAGCGGTAGGCCCCATGGTTGCTTGGCCGGGTGCCCACGATGGTGATGATGGAGCCATTGGGGCTGATGTGGACGTTGTCTGGGGGTTGCATTGGGGCGAGGAGGTCAATGAGGGTCTACCTGGCCCTTCTGCCTGGGTGCTGCCAGCTGGTGCCCCTCTGTCCCATGGCCCTGACTCTTTGGGCCCAGGTATATGACACAGAATCAGAGTTGGCAGAAGAGGCCCCAGCTTCCTCAACAAGTAGACAGATCGGTGCCTTCCCAGGTCCCATGCCCCCCTCACCCTCCAGTTCCTGATTGCGGGTCTTCCACTCCAGGCTGACAGGCAGCGCCCCCTCGTGGATGAGGCACTTGAAGCTGGCGTCCTGGCCCTGCCGCACTGTGCTGCTGGGTGGGTCGATGGAGATGACAGGGCTGCGAAGGCCTATGGGCAGAAGGAACAGGGCCCTGCTCAGGAGGCGCAACTGGCTCCCCGGGAGCCCCGCCTGTGCTCTGGGTCCTCCCCTCCCCTGCCTGCCCCAGGAGTTCCCTCGCTCACGGTAGGAAGAGCCAGAGCCAGGAGTGACTGTGACCATGAAGGAGGCCTCGTGCTCTGAGCCCAAACCACCAGCCACGCGGCACAGGTACTCTCCAGAGTCGGCAGGGGACACATGGTGGAGCCGCAGCTGGGAGCCATGGGTCTGTTGGGGTGAGGAGTGAAGCTTCAGGCCAGGCTACCCGAGATAGAGTGAGTTCCCAAGTGTGGCAGCGCTGACATTGGTGCTTTTTCGGGGGTCCTGGTGTAGGATCGGGGAGAAGCTTTGTTCACAGATCCCAGAAGCCCAATGGGTTAACTTTACAGAGGGGGAGACTGAGGCTCAAGGGGTGACTTCTCAGCAGGACTGGGAAGGCTGGGAGATAGCTCAAAGTCCTGAATTTGATCCCCTGTACTAAGAGAGAGAGAGAGAGAGAGAGAGAGAGAGAGAGAGAGAGAGAGAGAGAGAGAAGAAAAACCTGACAGGTTTCTTATCCCTTGTGGTCTCCATGTGGGCTGGAGTCTCTAAGGTTTGGGGACAGAAGACAATTGCAGGATGGAACTCCCTTGCCCTGGTCCTTCTACCTGGTGCCGGGCCGGCAGGCTGCCCCCGCGCTTGTGCCATGTGACCTGGGCGTGCGCCTGCCCGGGTACCACACAGTTCAGGTCCAGGGTCTGCCCTTCGGCCACGTGGGAGGAGGAGGCCTCAATGTAGATGGGCTGGGCCAGTCCTGGGGCTGTGGACAAGGGGGAAGTAAGAGGCCAGTTTTTGCAGCAAAGGCAGGGACCCACAGATTTTCATGTGGTGGACTGGTCCCCCTGGAGGTGCTGAGGCCTGAGAAAGCCTGACATGCTGGGCTGCAGGGCCCTAAGAAGGTCTCTCTTCCCTGGAGATGAAGATGGGCTGAGGCCCAGGGCTGAGCTCCCACTGGTGGTGGTGGGCGGGGAGGGGGCGCGCTGGAGGATTTCATGGGCCTAGGGACCCAGAAGCCACCAATCAGAGCTCTGCCAGTCATATCTGCGAAGACTGGGTGGATTGAATTCTAAACTGTAGGACCATCCTGCCACAGGAGGGCAGGGAGGAGCCAGGCCCACAAGGCCCCAGCCTATGCCTCAGCACCCCTAGTTCCCTGCCACTCACCAGGAATGGGGCCTGGGTTGGTGGCCTCAATCATGACCAGGACGGAAGCCTCCAGGGTGCCTGAGCTGCCCGTCACTTGGCATGAGTACTCGCCAGAGTCCGCTGGGGACACATGGTTCAGCCTCAGCAGGGGGCCATGGACCTAAGCAAGGTGGGCGAGGGTTGGGAGGGGTCTCTGGGAGGCTGCAGCATAGGCTCCCTGGTACCCGCATCCCAGCTGCTGTGCAGTTCAGCAGGTTGCGTCCTGTTCAGAGTGGGCCCCCCTTTGACATTAGGCAGCATGAAGTATGTGGTTAATACGACTTTCTTGCCCGTGGGAGGTGGTCAAGGGTCTTCAGTAAGTGGAGTCCCTTTTCTTCTTTGTAACAAGGTGCTGTGGGGGATGATGGTGGCCTTGCTGTGCCCAGCCCATGCTCAACCTATGACCTCAATGAACTGCTGTGTTCCCTGAACCCCACATCTAAGCCCACATTCACTTGAGGCTGGACTCAGGAAGGCTGGCTGGGGAGCAGAGGTGCATTCTGTTTCCTCGAGGACCCATACCTGGTGCTGGGCAGGCAGGCTACCCCCACGCTTGTGCCATGTGACCTGGGCATGTGCCTGACCGGGCACCACGCAGTTCAGATCCAGGCTCTGCCCTTCGGCCACTCGAGAGGAGGATGTCTCGATGCGGATGGGTGGGGCTCCACCTGCACCTGGGGTACAGCCGGAGCTCAGTGGGCAGAGAGCCCAGACCTGGGTACCCAGCCTCTCCCCCGGGAGCCCTGACGTGCAGGCCAGAGGCCACCAGCAGTGGTTTCTATGCAGGGGGCCAGGTTCAGAGTTTAGTCACAGTTAACACCCCTGCGCTGCCCTCCGGCTCAGGGCAGCTGGGCCAGCCCAGGGGTAGAGGACCCTCCATTCATTTGCTAGCACTTCCTAAAGTCCAGCAGCGTACAGTTAGGAATCCAGTTGCTACAGTCAGAGTGTTTGAGTTCAAATCCTACTGGATGAGCCATGTATTAACTATGTGACTTGGAAAACAATACCACCTCTTCGTGCCTGTTCTCCTACCTGCAAACATGATCGTAAGTGCCTCAAAGGGATACTGTGAGGATGCAAAATCATGTATGAATGTGTTCTAACATGACTTCTGCCATGGCATAGCCCTATGCCATTATCTATGCTATTTTTGTTTTTTATTTTTTTATTTTATTTTTTTTTAAAGTCTTTTTTAAAAATTTTATTTATTATGTGTGTGTGTGTGTGTGTGTGTGTGTGTGTGTGTGGCCAGCTCAGCCCACCAGGAGGTGGGGCTGGCTGGCATGTGGAGCTGGGGGATTGAACCGCAGTCCCTGCACTTCGGTAAGCTTGTTCTAAGTAGGTGCCTTAGACCACTGAGCCATCTCACCAGCCCTGTCTATGCTATTTTTGAGTCACTGCAAAAAAAAAAAAAAAAAAAAAAAAAGAGGTTCTGAACCCCATTATGGGCAATAACTTCCACAACCAAATCCTGGTAGGTTCATATTTTTTTCTTCCTTGATCCACCTCTAGGATCAGTAAAGATGTTTCCTGCAGCCCCACCTAAAGTCACCCGGCAATTCCTGCAGAGACGCAGGCCCAGGCTTCAGGGAACTCACTATCGGCTCCATAGATAGTAGATAGCAAGAGCTCCACTGAACCTCTTTACAGTTGACAGTGACATGCGGTAGTAAGGGGAAGTTTTGTGTAACATCTTTGAGGGATATGGAACTGGGGCTCAAGCCGGACTCTAAGCCTTGTTCTTGGGCCCTCTTGTGAGCAGGAACCATGCCCTGGCTGGGTCTCTCTTCCTGGAGCGGCAAGGGCAGGCAGGAGGTGCAGGTCAGGGATTAGAGGAGCAGCTGGCTCCGGGGGCCAATGGGCATTTCCTTTGTCCAGCTCTGCTTACTGCTGCCCTCCCCATCAGCCTCCCAGCCCTACTCAGGACACTCACCAGGGACATGGACAGTGTTGGAGCCAGAGGCCTCGATGGTGACCAGGACTGAGGCCTCCTGGTAGCCAGAACTGCCCAGCACGCGGCACACATACTCGCCAGAGTCAGCTGGGGACACCTGGTAGAGCCGTAGCCGGGAGCCATGGGCCTGAGCAGGGCAGGACAGGAAGACAGGGCAGAGTCAGATACTGATCTGGACTCCTGGAAGGCTTGGGGCCAGGCGCAGAGCTCTGACCTAGGTGGGTGCGGCACACCTCCAGGCTCCCAGGCCCTCCTTCCCGCAGCCTCCCACCATCTCCTACTGTCCGTACCTGATGCTGTGCAGGCAGGCTGCCCCCGCGCTTGTGCCATGTGACCTGGGCATGAGCCTGCCCGGGCACCACGCAGTTCAGATCAAGGGTCTGCCCTTCGGCCACGTGTGAAGATGATGATTCAATTCTGATAGGCCCGGCACCAACGGGAGCTGGGGACAAAGAGCAGCAGAGCAGAGATGGGCCATTTGAAGATGTGGGGGCAGAGTTGTGGGATCCTCAGCCCCAGAAAGCCCCAGGTCCTAGGTACAGTCACAGTTAACACTAAGCACTCACAGTGCACCAGGCCATATTTTAAGCATCTTACACACGTGACTCATTTAACAGCCACAAAGTCACATGCTTCCTGTGAGAAATAACTCTTTTTTTTTGCGGAACTGGGGATTGAACTCAGGCCCTTGTGCTTGCCAGGGAAGCTCTTATTCCACTGAGCCATCTCCCCAGCCCCAAGAACTGACTCTTTATCTGTATTTCCAAGACAATGATAGCAGCCACATGTGGCAATAGAGCACTTGATAAGTTGGAAATGGAAAATTTTATTTATTTTTTTCTTCTTTTGAGACAGGATCTTGCTATGTAGTTCAGGTTGGTTTTGAATTCATTATGTAGCCCAGATTGGCCTTAAACTTGTGAGGATCCTCCTGCCTCAGCTTTTCTAGCACCATAATGACAGACATGCACCTTCACGCCTAATAGAAATGGAATTTTAAATCCTATTTAATTTTAACTCCCACCTCTGGCTAATGACATCAGAAGAGACAACGCAGCTCTATGGAGGCAGAATAGTCAACACCCTCATTTTATTGATGGGGAGACTGAGGCCAAGAGGCAAAAGTAATGGGCCTAGTCACTTGATGATGCAGAGCCCTTTCCTGACCACCACCCTGGTCCAAAGAATCTAACTCAAAGGATCCTTCCCAGGGACACTGTTACTGGGTCTCCCTGTCTGTTCCCCAGGATGAGGGCCTTTGCCAGACTCACCAGAGGGAAGACTAGTGCTGGGAGAGACGGAGACCATGATGGAGGCCTCCTGGGCATCGATGTTGTTGTTGGCCCGACACACGTACTCGCCAGAGTCAGCCACAGACAGCTGGTGCAGCCGCAGGCGGGAGCCATGGGCCTGGGGGCATGGGGAGGAGAGGGAGCTGAGGGCCACGGGGTCCTCGTGGCTGGGGCACGCTCAGGTCCAGAATCTCCTGGGCGTGAGAAGGAGCCCTGGGCAGCCCCTGCAGGCTCACCCAGGACAGCAGGACAGCAGGGTTCCCGCGGCCGCGGCGCCAGTCCGTACCTGGTGTCTGGCGGGCAGGCTGCCCCCACGCTTGTACCACATGATGGTAGCCTGCGTCTGGCCAGCAAGCACACAGTTCAGATCCAGTGTCTGCCCTTCTACCACTGTGGGGGATGAGGACTCAATCTTGATTGGCGGGGAGACACTGGGCACTGGGGACGGGTGACAGAACAGCAGAGGCAAAGTCAGGTCACAGGGACAGTGCTGGGCACCCCCTGTCCAGACCTCCGTCCTCGCCCTCTCACCGTGGGAGGAGCCGCTGCCCTGGATGGTGATGATGAGTGAGGTTTCCTGCGAACCAGCACCATTGCTGACATGACACACATACTCGCCGGAGTCGGCCGGGGTCACCTGGGGGATCCGCAGCCGGGAGCCCACGATCTGCAGGGAGCAGGGGGCAGTGGGTGGAAGTGGTACCACCACGTCTGGGCAAGGCTGCCATTGGCACCTGGCTCTGGAAGCCGCCCCCTTGCCTGGTGCTGGCGACCTGGCCTGTGCAGCAGCCTTCCTGAGGCTCCTGGCAGGGCAGCTGACCCAGCTCTGGTCGGTACTCTTCTTACCTGTTGTCCCTCCAGAAAGCCTGAGAGGCCCTCCCAGCAGTGCCCTGGGGGACACCCATGTTGTCATTTAGCATGTCTGCCTCTCATTTTGCAGTGGTACTGGGAATTGAACCCAGGGCCTTCACACTAAGTTACATCCCCAGCCTTTTTAAATTTTCAAATTAAATTATTATTATTATTATTATTATTATTATTGTCTTTTTGAGACAGGATTTCACTATGCAATTCAGGCTGGCCTTGAACTCATTTTGTAGCCCAGGCTGGACTTGACCTTGCAGCCTCCTACCCCAGCCTCCTGAGTGCTGGGATTATATGCTTGGGCCAAGCCCTAGTCTTATTCCCCTGGGAATCAGTGTGCTACAGCATCTTGGATATTTATGGCATTAGTGAATCCAACTCAGGTCAGTAGAACGTAGGTCTGTATCACCAACACTAATTTAGGTCTATCTATGCTGATGCCCAGTGTTTGGTGAATGACTGAAAGAGCACAGAGCAAGGTGCTGAGAACATCTATTGTTTGCCCAAGAGCCAGTGTCCTCCCTGCCCGCCCATGCTATACCTGGTGCCGACTGGGCAAGCTGCCTCCACGCTTGTACCAGGTGATGGTGTGGGGGGCGTGGCTGGCTACCAGGCAGTTGAGGTCCAGCGTGTGCCCATTGGCCAGAGAGGCTGAGGAAGACTCAATGCGGATGGGGTACACCACACTCTGGGCTGGGAGGGGGAGGGAAAGGGCTATCAGGGAGGCCTGGGGGTGCTGAGCCCCTAGCCGCCTCCCCCACCTGCCTGATCCCTGAGACAATCACATTGGGAGGGGCTGAGGCGCTGCTGGATGTTGACAAGGACGGATGCCTCTTGGGTTCCTGAGCCACTGGCCACACGGCACACGTACTCCCCAGAGTCAGCGGGGGTCACTTGGGGCAGCCGCAGTCTGGAGCCATACACCTGCGTGGGCAGGACAGGGGTGGCAGGCTCAGAGCCATGCCAGGTTCCTGTCCCCTTTCCCGGTTCCCTCCAGGCCCTTCCAGTCAGTGCTTGATGGGTGCTCTTCAAGAGCTTCAGGGTCCTTGTCCCAGAGTTGGGATGGAACCCAGCTTGCAACCCTGTCCATACCAGGGACTGCCAAGACTTCACACTGGGAAAATGCTGCCATGCTAAGAGAAATAGGCAGCATGAACTCATGTGACAGATGAAGATACCAAAGGTCACAGAATTCAAGCAACTGGCTTAAGGCACACAGAGGGCAAGTGGCAAGGTAGTGTCTAAACTCGAATATGCCTGAATTCAAAGTTCATGCTTGCTTTTCCCCTCCTTCCCTGCTTCCCTTTCTCCTTTTATTGTGGTGCTGGGGATTAAACCCAGGGTCTCACTATGTAGTTCAGCCTGGCCTTGAATTCACAGCAATGCACCTGCCTCTGCCTGCGGACCCCTGGGATTACAGGTGTGTGCCACCATGCCCACTGAACCCAGGGTTTTACACATGCTAACCAAGCACCCACCACTGAGCACCCCCAGCTCAAGCCCATGCTGCTTATTCTGCTGTTTAAGGGTTTTCAAGGCTCCTCTTTTGCTCTCCATATCTTACTTGGTGTCGGGCCGGCAGACTACCTCCGCGCTTGTGCCAGGTGACCTGGGCGTGCGCCTGTCCTTGCACCATGCAGTTCAGGTCCAGGGTCTGCCCTTCTGCCAAGTGGGAGGAGGATGACTCGATCCGGACTGGGGGGGTGACCCCGAGTGCTGGTGACAGAGACAGAGGGTCAGTTAATGGGGGTGAGAAGAGACGCGTGTAAAGGAAGACAAGGCTACGGGTCTCGTGGGAGGTGCAGATGAGGTTTGGCTCACATCTGGAGTGGGGGTCCCTGGGTGGCCCCGCCCTCCTCAGTGCTACTTACCAGGCACGGAACCCACAGGCTCAATGGAAACCAAGACGGAGGTCTCCAGTGGCACGGGGGCACCGACCACCTGGCACACGTACTCGCCCGAGTCGGCAGGGGACACCTGGTGCAGCCTCAGCAGTGAGCCATGGGTCTGCAGATGGGGGGCTGCGTCAGAGGGTGCCTCCCCTCAACTTGTGACCTGCAGCCTGCAGCAATCTCTGAGCCCAGTTTCTCTTCCTGACCAGTGAGGGGAAGAGGGCCACATCCTGGGAGTAGGGGTACTCAGGAGGCCTGGATAACAGGGCACCCACTAATGACACACAGCACCAGTGCTGGGCACACACTTGAATACTAAGTCAAGGTGCATCTTTTTTTTTTACTTTTTAATTTTAATTTTAATTTTTATTTATGTGTGTGTGTGGCCAGCTCAGCCCACCAGGGGGCGGGGCTGGCTGGCATGTGGTGCTGGGGGATTGAACCGCAGTCCCTGTGCTTTGCTAAGCTTGTTCTAAGTAGGTGCTTTAGACCACTGAGCCATCTCACCAGCCCCCAAGGTGCATCTTGTGCAGTGGTCACTCTAGGTGGATTCCCCTTCCACCTACTACATAAACAATGGCAGCTCCTGCAATCAGTGCTATCCTACAAGATATACCATAACCATAGCTAAAGGTACCAGAATAATCATAATAGCTCAGGGCTTGAGTTCTAAGCACTCTGTAAGTGTATTATTAATTAATTTGTTCACTGGTACCAGGGATCAAACTCAAGACTTTGCATTGCCATGCACGTGCTTATGCTGCTGAGCTATCTTCCCAGCCCTTTTAAATGTATTATTTAACTTGATTCTGTAGGCACTTCTATTTTGTAGATGCTGAAGCTACTGCACAGAGAGACTGAGTAACAGCTGATGAATGGTGGGGTCTGACCTCACACCAGGCTGGCTGGGCCCCCTCACCATGCACCCCATGCACCATGTGGCTGTGCAAGGGACCCAAGGCCTCCCTTGTCACAGAGAAGCCCCTGCCCACCACCCAGGGAGCTCCTCTCTCGGCCCCTCCATTTCCCGGCCCTTTTACCTGGTGCCTGGCGGGCAGGCTGCCCCCACGTTTGTGCCACATGACTTGAACATGCGCCTGCCCAGGCACCACACAGTTCAAGTCCAGGGTCTGCCCTTCAGCCACGTGGGAGGAGGAGGACTCGATGCGGATGGGTTGGGTGCTGCCCGGAGCTAGGGGAGAAGCGGTCACTGGTCACGTTGAGTCTCTATAGTAGCCCAGCTCTCGTGCACCCTGTCCTGCCTGCTGGCCCCACTCACGGTAGGCAAAGCTGGCCCCCTGGGCCCTGGTCACTGTGACTGTGATAGAGGCCTCCACACCATCACTGGCCCGGCAGACGTATTCTCCAGCATCCACTGGGGAGACTTGGAAGATGTACAGGCGGGACCCGCGGACCTGGGCAGTGAGGACAGAGGTGTGAGAGTGTGTCCCAGCCCTTAGCAGATGCCCAACCCATGTCCCTTTGTCTGGGAACTTCTAGCCCCCTGGGTGGAGAGCTGGGAGCCTCCAACCCATTGTTTCAGGCATGAGTACCTGGTGCCGAGCTGGCAGGCTGCCCCCACGCTTGTACCATGTAACCTGGGCATGGGCCTGCCCTGCCACCATACAGCTGAGGTCCAGGGTCTGCCCCTCGACCACCGTGGATGATGAGGACTCGATCCTGACAGGTGGGATGGGTGCTGGGGCTGTAGGGACAGGGCTGAGGGTAGCAGAAGCTCCTGGAAGAGGTGGCAGGGACCACCCACCCAGGGCTGGCTCTGCCTGGGAACTCAGCGGAGGACTGGGGCATTTGAGATCTGCCTGGGAACTCCATAGAGGGCCAGGGCATGGGCGAGGGAGAGGTGAGGCTGGAAGAGAGGAGGGAAGGCAGGCAGGAGCACAAACCAGAGCAGTGACGTAGCCAAGGAAAGTGTGCCAGGAAGCTAGCAGAGCTCTCAGACAGGGCCCTGCATCAGCTCCAGGGTAAGCCTCCTGCCCTCAGGTGGCACCAGGACCCACTCCGAAGGCTCTCAGCCTTCTCCAGCTTTCCATGTCATCAAAGTCACTCACCAGGGATGGAGTCAGAGGGCTCGATGGAAACCAGGACAGAAGTCTCCAGGTGCTCAGAGCCCAGGACCACATGGCACACGTACTCGCCTGAGTCGGCAGGGGACACTCGGTGCAGCCGCAAAAGTGAGCCGTGGGTCTGTGTGCAAACAGGCAGGGTTGGGCAGGGCTGGAACAGTCCAATCCAACCCCTGTGGAGGGCTGGCCATGAGGCCACTGTACCTGATGCCGGGCAGGGAGGCTGCCCCCGCGCTTGTGCCAGGTGACCTGGGCCTGCCCGGGCACCACGCAGTTCAGATCCAGGGTCTGCCCCTCAGCCACTTGGGAGGAAGAGGACTCGATGCGGATGGGCTGGGTGCTGCCAGGTCCTAGGCATAGAGGGGTCGGTCAGAAGCTATGGGAGGTGATCAGGCCCTAGCTCGGATAAGTAGATCCAAAGCCTTTCTGGGCTGGAACCATTTTCTGCCCTGACAATTCAGCCTTTCTTCCATCCCCACGGCCAGTGCAGGCTCCAGGGTCCTCTGCCCAGAGTGACCTCCTGACAAGGAGACTGGGGAGCCTTGAGACAGGCACTGCCAGGCTTCCCCAGAGCACCCAGAGAGTAAAGCCCACTTGCTGTGGTGTTCACCTTGTGTTCCCAGCCCTTTCCCAGACCCCAGCTCCTCTACATCAACATCACACCCTCACCTAGCAGGTGCTGAAACCACCACTCCATAGACGAAAAACACAAGTCCCCAAAGGCAAGGAACTAGATCAAGGCCGGCAAAGGGCAGAGTCAAGACCTGATCCCAGGGCAGCCCAGCTCCCCACTCAGGGAGGGACCCAAATATTGCTGCCTGCTGACGCCTGAAACCACCCCCTCCCATGGGGCACCAGGGAGCCTGGAGCAGCCTCATCCCACTCACCCCCCAGCCCCTCATTGCCCGAGTAGGCTTGGTTCCAGAGAGTCCAAGCCTCCTGGAACCATGGATGCCAGAGCAGAAGCACAGCCCATGTGTCTCCTCACCTGGGCCATGGCTGAGGCCTGGCTGGGTGCTGTGCAGCACGGAGACCACGATGGATGCCTCCTTGGGCCCCACCTCACTCTCCACGCGGCATACATACTCTCCGGAGTCGGCTGGCGAGACCTGTGGGAGCCGCAGCCGGGAACCGTGGACCTGGGCCAGGGTGGGGGGAAGGTATATAAAGACAGGGATGGGGCCGAAGCCACTGTTCCCTCTGGGCACTCTTGGTTCAGTCATCAAACACCCCTGGGGACAGAGCCTGGCCCTGGCTGCTGGCACTTGCTGCAGAGTCGACCTTCCATCTGCACAGTGGCCACCCAAGCCAGAGCCTCCATCCCAGCCCAGGACCCTGCTCAGGCCAGGGAGCCTACCTGGGCATGGGGAGGCAGGCTGCCCCCTCGCTTGTACCACGTGATCTGGGTGTGGGCCAACCCCTCCACCACACAGCTGAGGTCCAGTGTCTGCCCTTCGGTTACGGATGGTGATGAAGATTCAATCTTGACTGGCGGTGAGCTGGCGCCTGAGGCTGGGGTCAGCAGAGGGTAAGCGGACCCCAGAGGAGCCCTGGCCTGCCCTCCCACCCCCTCGGCCCCTGCTGGCCCCACACCTGACAGCACGGTCACTTGGATGCGGGCCTGTGCTGTGCCCAGGGGGCTGGTGGCCACGCAGAGGTAGAAGCCGGAGTCAGCAGGTGTGGTGGCTGGGATGATCAGTGTGGAGATGTCTGTGTGCTCAGACCGGGCCTGCCACATGGGGAGAAGCTTAGTCACCCAAGAGGCAGGGGCCAGGGTGAGCCAAGGAGGGTGGGCAGGGGGACGGACAGGGCAGGACAGGCACTGAGCCAGGGTTAAGGCCCAGAGGGCACTGAGGATGATAGATTGGGCAGGGCAGAGACAGGGGACAGGGCAGAGAACGGGGACAGGGCAGAGACAGCAGAGCTACCCAGGAGAGGCAGGAAAGGAAGGGAACCAGAGAGGAGGTGGGCTGGGTATGGAAGGGCAGGTGGGCATGGGAAGGGCAGACCCCTCACCTGAGGGGGCAAGCTGCCCCCCTCCTTCCTCCAGGTGATGGTGGCAGTGGGTACCCCCGTGGCCCTGCAGTACAGTCTGACGGTGTGGCCTTCATGCACCTGGGTGCGCTCTGGACTCACTTGCACCCTGGGCCCATTGCCTCCTGCAGAGAGAGTGCCATGAGAACCTCTTGGCTGCCTTGGCCTCCAGCCTGGGTCTCAGTCCCTTGCCCAGCCCAGCTACTCACCATGTACCTGGAGGACAGCCCTGCCCACTTGCTGCCCAACGCTGTTGAGGGCGCGGCACAGGTACTGGCCCTGATCTGAGGACTCAGCGGCTGGCAGGCGGAGGATGCCTCCATGGATCTGTGCCTTCAGAGGGAGCTGGCCCCCAGGGCCCCCTGGCACGGAGACATGGGGTCAGCAAGCCTTGGGATTGGGCTTGCTCCAGCCCTCTGGGATGCTGGGCCCCTCCCTTGGCCCTTCCCCTGGCCGGCCACGTGGAGGTCAGCCCTCTATGGCGCTGTATCACAGCCTCACCTATCCACTCAACGGTGGGCGTGGGGTTTCCCCTGGCATTGCACCGGAACTCCACTACCTGCCCAGGCTGCACGGTGAGCTGTGGTGGGTGGATGGAGACCACGGGAACAGACAAGGTGCCTGTGGCTGGCAAAGGTCAAGAAAGATGTACTCAGGATGGGCAGTGTGGGCTGGGCCACAGCAACAGCCTCCTTACCACTCTCTGCTCCCAGTCTAGCCCTCTACGGCCATCGGCTTGTGGCAGCCAGAAAGCTTTCTTTTTCTTTCTTCTTGAACCTACTGAGTTTTATCCTTAAACTTTTTTAAAGTTCTTGAGACAGGGTATCACTGAGCTCCAATCTGTGATCCTTCTGCCTCATCTTGCCCTTGGAGTGCTAGAATTACAGCTATGTGCCACCAGGCCTGGGTCAGAAGGATCTTTCTCTTGTTAGCTCTCTCTCTGAAGATCTTGCTATGCAGTTTAGGCTGACCATATACTCGCTCTGTAGCCCAACCTGGTCCTGAACTTGAAGAAATCCTCCTGCCTCAGATGGGTGTGCTGGATTACAGGCATGTAGCCCTGGCCTTTCAGAAGGAAACTTTAAAAATATCAATAGGAGGGCTGGCCGAGTAGCTCAGCAGATTAAAGCACCTGCTTAGGCAGACGCAGGGGCTGGGAGTTTGATCCCCTGGCCTGCCGTGCTGGCCCTGTCCCTGGGGTGTGGTGGCGCACACCTGTAATCCCAGCACGTGGGAGGCTATACACAGTAGGATCACTATGAGTCCTATCTATGCAGTGAGACCCCCATACACCCTGTACGCCCTGTCCTAAATTAAAAAAAATTTTTTTAAAAAAGAAAGGGCTATTGAGATAGCTCAGCAGACTAAGCACTGCTTAGGGACTGGGATTTGATCCTCAGCACCATATACCTTGTGGGCCCCACCCCTGGGTGTGCTGAGCTGGCCATTGAGACTGGTGTGGTGGTGTATGCCTGTAATCCCAGCACTGAGAAAGCTGAAAATAGGAGGATCATTATGAGTCTGTGCTGCCTAGTGAGACCCTGTGCCAAATATATTAAAAAAAAAAAAATCAATAGGAAGGCGGGTTTGGTTGTGCATGCCTATAATCCCAGAACTCTGAGAAGCTGAAGGAGGATTACAAATTTGAGATCACTAGCCCAGGCAACTTAGCAAGGGCTGAGGATGTAATTCCGTACAAAGCCTGGGTTGAGTGCCTAGGAATGCAACAAAACAAAACATTAGGGTTTCAATCCCTGGCACCACAGGCCGTGCTGGGGAGACTGCAAACAGAAGGTTCACTACAAGTCCGAGCTGCGTAGTGACATCCAGCATCACATAAAAAGAAAACAAATCAAAACATCAAACTCCAAAGAGACTGCCTTACTTCCCTATTTAAAATTTGTTCATGGTGCCTACTGCTTTAACAGCTCTCACCCCCAGCTTACCACACATGGTGTGCTCTTCCCTCTGCTTATACCTCCAGGCTCTTAGCTACACTCCTTCCCACAGGTGTAGCCAGGCTGGCCTTTCTGTACCTCAAACACATGGACCTGCTCCGGCTTCCTGGAGGCTCCTGCCTCCTGCCAGAGACTCCGCCAGCTCTCTAACTGGCTCAGTGCCTTCTTTTCTTTTGGGTGTCCACTTTGCTGACACAGCAGCCTGCCCTCCTTCCACCCCACGTTTTTCCCTCATGCCTCCACTCTTTCCCGGCCTAGGACTGCAGCTGTTTTTTGTTCATTTGCTTCCTTGCTGCGGCCACCTCTGCCAGGACAGACACTCTACAGGGCTGAGGTCCTGCTTGTCATTCTGTGTGTGCTCTGACTTCAGAGCCTAGACCAGGACCTGGTATACCACAGGTGCTCAGAAATGACATGTGGCATGAACGGTGCGCAATCCTGGTGGGCATCGGGGGAGTGCTGGGTGGAGGTCAGTTGCGGGGGCAAGGTGAATACCTTGCACGTGCAGTGTGGCTGTGCCCTGGTCCATGGCGAACATGTTGGAGCCAGTGCACACGTAGGTGCCTGCGTCACTCGGCTGCACATTGCGGATGGTCAGGATGCCGTTGAAGTCCATGGCTCGGGAGGGCAGCTTCCCATTGTGCAGGCGGGTCCATACCAGGGTGTAGGCGGGAGACTTTGGGGAAAAAAGGCAGGTGCAGATGAGGTGGGGGCTCAGGGGCCCAGGGACCAGGCCCACATGCCCTAAACCCTGCCCTCCCACCTTGCTCTTGGCCGTGCAGATGAAAGTGACGTCGGTCCCAGGGCGCACACTCTGGCTGCGCTGTTCCTCCACTGTCACCGTGATGGGCTTGCTTGGTGCCTCTGTGGGCACAGGAAGATCCTGTGAGCTGAGAGCTGGCTAAGTCTCTGTCCTGTGGCTACATTCTTTCTCTGCTGTCACTTCCTTCCTGGTCCAGCTTAGATGCTATCCCCCACCCTCCCTTCCCTGTTCTGGCTGAGCCCAGCCCCCTAGGTCCTCCCTGCTGGCCCTGAGCACAAGCCAGTGTGGCCAGAGAGTATCAGCTGGGCTCCAGGACATGACCACAGGCCACAAGTGAGCTCTTAACACTTCACACCTCATTGCAACTGGGTGTCCCCATGGGAGTCGGTTTCCCTCCAAGCAACTATTTCACACCTCCTGGTGTGTGGGGGGCCCTGGCCCTGCTCACCCTCTCACTGTTACCACTCATGGCCTCAACTCACCCTTACTGAGCTACCACAAACTACGAGTTAGAAATGTTTCCATCTTCTCCAAGTACCAGGCTACCGGCTCCCTCCTTGCCTGTCCCTTCTCCTGACACCCCTGTGCCTCCCTGCATCTTTGAGAGGCAGACCCCTCCCGGGGACTTCCTCCCTCTTACACCTTGTCAATCTCTACTCGCCCTCAGAGTGAGATCATTCTGCTTTCTAGACCAGTATGCTTTGGGATGTTTCATCGTTGAAAATGCCTCTTTGGGCCCTTGCTCTCCCAGCTCTCCCCATTGGTGGCTTCCCTTCAGAGTCAAAACCTAGGAGAGTGGCTTCTCTACATGCCGCCTTCTCCCCTTACTCCCACCTTGCCTTTGTCTTCCCATTGATGGCCACTGCTGTCACAGCGTGATCTCGCCAGTCATTTCCCTGCCCTTGTCTTACTCCCATTGCAGCAGTGACCAGTGGTGCTCTTGGCAGCCCTTACCTCTCCTTCCTTCCTGCCTCTGGCTTGTGGCAGTGGCTTCCTCCCACCTCTAGGGCTGCTCCCTTCAGCTCTGCCTGCCCTTCCAGCTTTAGCTGGACATCTCCCTGCTGGGTTCTGCCCTGGGCTGTTCTGCACATGTGCCTGAGACACCATCCTTGTGTCAACAGCGCCCAGTGGAATTTCTCCAGCAAAGGTCTCTTTCCTGAGTTCAGCTTGCAAGTCCACCTGCCTGGTGACCAACCCACTTAGGTGTCTCCCCTATACACCTCCAACTTTAACAAGTCTAAATAAACTTGTGATACCTCTGACCTTGGTAGCAGAGGCTGCCAGTGCCCTGCCCAGGGCCCTCCACCAGGTTACCCTGGTGCCCTCCTGCCTGGCTCCCGCCAGCTGCTGTTTCCTTGCATAAAGACTTTCCAGGGCTCCTGCAGCCCACCGTGTACTCTTGTACAGCAAAACAGAGGTGGGCTGTCAGTGAGTGAGAGGACCCAGCACACACAGACCCCAGCTCCTTGGGCAGCATCCTGTCCTCTGCATTTTGGACCACAGTTAAGTCTGGCTATTGTGCCTTCCCAACAGGTCTTGGGTCCAAGCCCTGTCCATATCTCCATGGCCACTGGCCTCAGCCAGGCTCTCCCCTCTCCTTCCCCACAGATGAATGCATCTTTGCTGGGGGTTGCAATCCTACGCACAGGGGAGAAGGGACCCACCAGTGACCAGCAGCTCTGCTCGGCTGGCATTGACATGGTGGAGGTTCCGGCAGGTGCAGATGTAGACCCCAGCATCAGAGGGGTGCACGCTGGGGAAGTGGAGCTCAGCACCTGGGGGGTGGGTGGGAAGCACCAATGTATATTTCCCTTCTCCACCCAGCCCTGTAGGCAGGCAATGGCCAGTCCACCCTCTCCCTCCCTGGGGGACTCCCAGGGCCTGGAATACCTTGATGTCTCTGCTGAGTGCTGCTGGGCACAGGCTGCCCATCCTCACGGGACCAGTAGAAGTAGTGAGGTGGGTTTCCACTGACCTGGCATCGCAGGGAGTGGGGCCCCCCTTGGGGCACTATGCTCCGAGCTGGATGGACCTGGACCACCAGTGGAGGTTGGTCTGCTGGGATGGGAGGGAGCAGAAGCCATTCAGGCAGGAGCCCCTGTAGGCTGCACTGTCTCAGATACCTCCACCCTCCCACCTCAGCCCTGAATCCCTCCAACTCCCTAGATCCCATGACTAGCCCGTCATCCCCTACCCCAGACCCCACTTACTCTGTGGCAGGCACTGGCCCCCTTGCACATTGGGGTTACCCACGTAACCAGGGGCACACCTGTTGGGAGGAACAGGACCAGTTCTGTCAAGTTTTGAGGAACTCACAGCCTCACAGTGACCTCAGGAGCAAGAAGCTGAGCCAGCAGCCTAACGTGGGGTGAGGAGGCTCAGGGTCCCAACACTGGGCCTTGCTGAGCCAGCAAAGGAGAGTGGCGGGGAATGTAGCAGGTTGGGTAAAGAGGGAGGTAAGGCTTTCATTCTTTGAGGGAAGAGTCATTCAACAAACACTTATTAGGCAACTACTAAGTGCCAGGCACTGTGCTAGGAGCTGGGGATGCAACTGCGAACATGAAGAAGACCTTGGTCTTGTGTAACTTTTTAGTTGGGAAACCAACATGGAAACTCTATATAAAACAAGAGTGAGGGGAGCGTTTCAGGCTGTGAGGACACAGGGCAGGCTTTAATCCAGCCCTGAGGTCAGGAGGCATCCCAGAGGATGGGCTTTCTGCACTGTCTTCTCAGAAAGCTTATCGCAGCTTGGAAGCATGTATATGCACCATCGGTTCCCCATAACTCCCACTTGCAAACTTACTGTTCACAGTACTGGCCGGCGTAGCCAGGCTCACAGGCTGTGCAGCGATACCCGCCGGCACCCAGGCTCTCACAGGTGCGGGAGAACCTGGGCAGGAAGACAAAGGCCGGTCACCGGAAACCCACCCCGCCCTGCTACCCCCACCCTGCAGGGACAGCTGGGCCTTGGGCCCTGAGCAGAGGCACCCACATGTTCTCTGGGTTGGTCAGTGGGCAGGCGCAGGGCTGGCAGTCCTCAGGTGTCCCGGCCGTGGCATCTCCATAGTAGCCAGGAGCACAAAGCTCACAGAACTCCCCGACAGTGTTGTGCTGGCATTGCTGAGGGACACAGGAGCCATCAGGCTCAGCCACTGGGCCATATATACCCAAAAGCCATGCAATTTTGCAATTCATTGACCTAGGAATTCGAAGCTTGTAAACTGTCTTAAATAATCACAGAGGACAGAGATTTCATCACAAAGATGCATCTGTTGGTGGTGCTGAAATAAAACTAGACTTCTGTAAATAGGAAGCGGGGTAAGTTACAAAAGTACCTGCAGGGCTGGTGAGATAGCTCAGCAGTCTAAAACGCCTGGTTTGGCAAGCTTAGGCAGGTGCAGGGGACTGTGGTTCGATCCCTGGCACCACATGCTGTGCCTGCCCTGCCCTCAGGGTGGGGTGAGCTGACCAAAAAAAAAAGAGTACCTGCACCTGTACAGCTATCAAAAAGATGATGTTCTTTTGCAAAAGGATGTTCACTATATTTCTTTTGAGACAGGGTCACACTACGCAGTTCTGGCCTTGTGCTCATTTTTGTAGCCCCTAGGCTGGCCTCAAACTCACAGAGATCCTCCTGGCTCAACCTCCCAAGTGCTAGGATTACAAGGGTGAGCCACTACACCTGGTTCAACTATATTTCTCTCTCTCTCTCTCTCTCTCTCTCTCTCTCTCTCTTTCTCTGGCAGAACTGAACTAGGGGTTGAACTCAGGCCCTTTTGCTTGCCAGGCAAGTGCTTATTCTACTGAGCCATCTCCCTAGTCCCTCGACTATACTTTTTATAATTTTATTTTTTTGGTATTGGGGGTCAAACTCAGAACCCTGCACTTGCCAGGCAGGTGCTTATGCTGCTAAGCCATATCCCCTTCTTATAATTTTACACAAATCCTCTAATATCAGAGGAAAGGTGTACATGTGGGTACCAAGGACAGAGCTTTGAAACTGTGCCTCACTGCAGAAATGTGTGGGTCACAGTGTCCTCAGAGAGACCCAGTTTGTTGAATTAATGGGGCAGGTTCCTTAATTCCTGTTTAGCTGTGGCTCTGTCAGCCTCCTAGTCCTGGTTTGTACCTGGGGGGTTCTATACACACCACTCTGCAAAGCCCAGGTCTAAAAAAATATGAGGTGGAGGCTGAGGCCAGGCTGGGCTATAGAACGAGTTCACAGCTGTCCTGGACTAACTACTTGGGGGACCCTGGATCAAGAGGGGGGGGAGGGGAGGGGAGGGAAGGGTA